AGAGCCGCAGGTAGATGGGGAAATACCTGTGACCACCTGGTTTGGATGAAGTTTTCCGAGGCCCCGCTCTTCTGGGATACAGCACAGATAGTAGATGGGCCCTGGATTCAGAAAGATCCCACTTTGGGTCCCTGCGGCTACCGCCCTAGGTCAGACCACCAGCAGCCTTCACCTGAACTTTCGCTCATAGCCTCCAGGTAAGTCTGGCTGCTAGGCTGTGTCCCATCCCCAATTCTGTCCACTACAGTTTTCTTTCTCAAATGCAGATCTAGTCATGGCGCTTCCCCAATTGCATCCCTTAAGTGGCTTCCTATTGCATTCAGGGTCAAGCCCAAGTTCTTGGAAGCGCTTACAAGGCAGGCCCTTGAGCTCTGACTCCTGCTTGTCTGTCTTGCTTCTCTTCTAATCACTGTCCTCTTGGAGCACCATGCTCAACCATCACCACCACCACCAGTTGTCGTGGAGTCGACTTTCACTCATGGTGACCCCATGTGTGTCAGAGTAGAACTGTGCTCCATAGGGTCCGCAAGGAAATACATGTATATATGCTAACTGGTATTATACACACATCTATAAATATTTCTGTACGTATCCATCAGTATCTATAATAAGCTAAACATGAGTTCATATCTCCTCTGACTCTAATCCATTACCATATGGATCATTCTGTTCTTCTAACAGGAGGTTATTTTCTAGAATAGAAAATAATGGTATGAGTGCCCAGATGACCCCATCTAAAGTAGTTCCCCCGAACCCCTTCATTCTCCAACTCCTCTCTCCCCTACTTAGTTTTCTCTAGGCACCTATATCTGTGTCTGTTTACTGTTTGGTTCCTGTGCTCCGAGAGGACAGGGTGAGGGTGGGCATTCAGAGCCTGGGCCATAGGAGTGGCTCACAGCTAAAGAGCTTAAGCGCACGGTTTCCCTGGGCCCACCCCAGACTCCTGGGTCAGAATGGCTAAGCCTGAGGTTTGTTGTTGTTAGGTGCCATCGAGTTGGTTCCCACTCATAGCAACCCTGTGTACAACAGAAGGAAACACTGCCCAGTCCTGCGCCATCCTCACAACTGTTGTTATGCTTGAGCCCACAGTTGCAGCCACCATGTCAATCCATCTCGTTGAGGGTCTTCCTCTTTTTTGCTGACCCTCTACTTTACCAAGCATGATGTCCTTCTCCAGGGATTGGTCCCTCCTGGTAACACATCCAAAGTATGTAAGACAAAATCTCGCCATCCTTGCTTCTAATAAGCATTCGGCGTATACTTCTTCCAAGACAGATTTGTTCATTCTTCTGGAAGTCCATGGTATATTCAATATTCTTCACCAACACAATTCAAAAGCATCAACTCTTCTGTCTTCCTTATTCATTGTCCAGCTTTCACATGCATATAAGATGACTGAAAACACCATGGCTTGGGTCAGGTGCACCTTAGTTCTTAAAGTGACATCTTTGCTTTTTAACACTTTAGAGAGATCTTTTGCAGCAGATTTGCCCAGTGCAAGTCTGATTTCTTGACTGCTGCTTCCATGGGCATTGATTGTGGATCCAAGTAAAATGAAATACTTGACAAATTCAATCTTTTCTCCATTTATCGTGATGTTGCTTATTGGCCCATTTGTAAGGAATTTTTGTTTTCTTTACATTGACTTGTAATCCATACTGAAGGCTGTGGTCTTTATCTTCGTCAGTAAGTGCTTCAAGTTCTCTTTGCTTTCAGAAAGCAAGGTTGTGTCATCTGCATATTACAGGTTGTTAATGAGTCTTCCTCTAATCCTGATGCCCTCTTCTTCATACAGTCCAGCTTCTTGGATTATTTGCTCAGCATACAGATTGAAAAAGTATGGTAAAAAGATACAACCCTGACACACACCTTTGTTGACTTTAAACCATGCAGTATCCCCTTGTTCTGTTCGAACGACTGCCTCTTGGTCTGAGTATAGGGTTCTCATGAGCACAGCTAAGTGTTCTGGAATTCCCACTCTTTGCCTTGTTATCTGTAATTTGTTATGATCCACACAGTTGAATACCTTGCATAGTCAATAAAACACAGGTAAACATCTTTCTGGTATTCTCTGCTTTTAGCCAGGATACATCTGACATCAGCAATGATATCCCTTGTTCCATGTTGTCTTGTAAATCTGGCTTAATTTCTGGCAGTTCCCTGTCTATGTACTGCTGCAACCACTTTTGAATGATTTTCAGCAGAATTTTACTTGTGTGTGATATTAATGATATTGTTTGATAATATCCACATTCTCTTGGATTACCTTTCTTTGGAATGGGTACAGATATGGATCTTGGTTGGCCAGGTAACTGTCTTCCAAGTTTCTTGGCATAGACAAGTGAGTGCTTCCAGCGTTGCATCCATTTGTTGAAACATCTCAATTGGTATTCCATCAATTCCTGAGCCTGGGGTTTAGGGAAGGGCATTTTCTTTATTGAGCTATAATTCACATGCCATAAAATTCACCATTTAAAAGTGTACAATTCAGTAGTTTTTAGTATAGTAATAGAGTTGTGCAATCACCACCACTATCTTATTCCAGGACATTTTCATCACTCCAGAAAGAAACCCCATGCCTAATAGCCGTCACTCCTCATTCCTCCATCCCTACAGCCCCTGGCAACCACCAATCTACTTTCTGTCTATGGGTTTACTTATTCTGGACATATCATATGAATGGAATCATACAATACGTGGTCTTTTGTGACTGGCTTTCATTAGCATAATGTTTCAAGGTTATACATGTTGTAGCATGTATGAGAACTTCATTCATTTTTACGGCTGAATAATATTCCCTTGTGTAGTTATACCACACTTTGTCTATCCATTCATCAGTTGTTGGCCATTTGGGTTGTCTGTACCATTCTGGGTATCATGAGTCATGTTGCTAGGAAGGAAAGGACATGTTTAACAAGGCTCCCAGGTGATTGTGATATACAAGTTAGAGACATGGAGATACCACCATTTGCAGTTTCCAAAGCAACATCATACACACACTATCTCATTTTATTCTCCCAACGGCATTGCCCCCATGTTATAGATAAGGAAAGTGAGACTCAGGGAGGATGAGCGACTTGGGGACTTGGGCTCCAGTTGTTGGCACTGGGCTCTGCTCGCTCCTCCATGCATCCCCCACTGTCCTCTCTGAACCTGGGCTTTCTCAGCAGCTCTTTGCTGTTTTACAGGCTGTGCAAGTCAGGAAGTGAAGCCTTGCCAACTTTGGAACACAAATATTTGCCAGTCAAGAAAACACTCACTCATCAATCAAAAAATAACCCACACAATTTGGCAGACACTGCCTGCAGATGCCTGAGGGAGTTTCTATTTTGGGAGGGGCCAGGTGGCAGGAAGCCTCCCCTCCCCTGCCCCCATCCCCAGCTCCTTCCCTTCTTACCTCATTTTGCATATGAGGAAAGCAAGGTTTAGAGCTGTCCCTTGCCCTCACTCACACAGCATCCAGAGGGACCATTTATTTTCTTAGAAAGCATTTATCTTAAATGATTTAATGAAGGTCACACAGTGTAAATGACAACTTCCACTGCAAATAAACAGCAGACATAGCTTTCAAGGCAATGTGAGTGGGCAGAAATTAATTATGGTCCTATTTCATCCTACGTGGAGCACGTTTAACCCTATGAGGCAGTTCTACTCTGTCCTATAGGGTCGCTGTGAGTCGGAATTGACTCAACGGCAACGGGTTTGGTTGTTTTTGAGGTGGGCACGTTTCCGGAGGGTTGGAGAGAAAAGCATGGGGTGGGCTGGGGTGGGGGATGGGGGGGCAGCACAGCTTTTTTGTCAGGATACAGAACCCTGGAATCCATGTGTCCTCTATGCTTTTTCTAGGGCCTAATGATCAGGGCTAGAACAGTTCCACTCTGACACACATGGGGTTGTCATGAGTTGGAATCAATGATGAGGCCTTCAAGTTCAAGTCCAACCCTTCTAGACTAGCAGCTTCACTTCCCAGGAAGCTTTCCCGGTCTATTATCACCTGATCAAAACCACCTTGCACTGTTAAATTTCTGCTTTCTGTCGCCACTCCAGACCCCTGAATCAAAATTCCTTGGGGGATGCGGGGGAGAGGGTGGAGCCTGAGAGTGAGCATGCTGACACACAATCCAATCTTTAGGGGATTCTGACACGGAGGTGAGTTTGGAAACCACTGCTATTATGTTTTTCACACATGCTCACCGTATAGCGGGCATCCCGTTTAAGGAATCAATACGTATTGGCTGAGGTCCTGCAAACTTGTCCCTTCCTAAGTCTTGCCTAGGGTGCTTGTGAGAGTACAAACTCTCTTCCTTGCACTTCCTGACCCGGAAGGTGTGGGGTAGGGTGGAGGAATTTGCTATCTTTATATATTTTTAACCAATCTGTAGAAAGAGGGCAAGGTCCCTGGGTGGTGCAAAAGGTTTGCGCCCAACTACTAAAGGTTGGCAGTTTGAACCCACCCAACAAATTAGGGCCAAGAAAACCCTAGGGAGCAGTTCTACTCTAATACAAGGAGTCGCCATGAGTCAGAATCGCTCATGGCAACGGGTATGGTTTCTTTTTGGTGGAGGGCAGAAAATTGGGAAGTAAAGAGAAACAAGCTTTCGCTCACTCTACTGGGGCCGCGTCTGTCCAGGTCTCCCCGTGTCCCGGAGCCCAGTCCTGAACTTGGCCCAGTAAATGCATTTCCTCCCGGCCGGGTGCGGACGCCGTAGGTGCGCGCAGGCTGCATGTGGACTCCTGCTACCGGCGAGGAGGCGCAGTGGCGGGGAGCCAGCGACAACCAGCGCCGGGTGCGCGGCGCCAGAGCCCCGCCAGCCCACGGGAGAGGCGGGGCGGCCTGCAGCAGGCTCGCCAATCCCTGAGCGCGTAACAATCGCGGTTTCCGCCTCCGGCCGCCCCGCGGAAAGCGCTGCGATCCCATAGGTCATGTGGAAGCCTCTTCCGGCCGGGGGCGGGCCCCGCGCTGAGGCGGGAAAAGGCGACTGCGAAACCTCTTCGGGGCCGCTAAGGGGCGTGGATGGCGCACTGACCCAGGGGTCGCCCAGTGCCACCATGGACGCGGCCGAGGTGGAATTTCTGGCCGAGAAGGAGCTGGTGACCATTATCCCTAACTTCAGCCTGGACAAGATCTACCTCATCGGGGTAAGGGGGAGCGGGCAGTGGTCGGGGCGCTGGTCTGGGACGGCGGGGCCGATACGACCCCAGAGGCGACCTGGCCCCGGAAGTCGGGCTGGGAGGGGGCGCAGCCCTGTAGGGAGGCCAGGGCAGGAAGAGAAGGGTTGGGGGTGCGGACTCTGCCTGCTCTATCTGGGCTCTGTCCTCGCTCCTCCGGTTCCCGTTTGTCAGAAAGATGAAACCCATCCCGTCGATTTCGCGTTTTAAATTAGAGAAGCCCCCGGGCGCCTGAGGTCAAGGGGCTCCGTGCCCCCCGCCCCCGAGGAGACTGAAGTTCTGTTTAATAATTGTGTCCTGGAAATTGGAGGTCGGAAGTAGAAAGTAAAGAGCCCTGGTGGCGCTTCACTCGGCTGTTAATCGAAAGGTCGGCCGTTCGAACCTACCAGCCGTTCCACGGGAGAAAGGCCTGACGATCTGCTCCCGTAAAGATTACACCCCAGGAAACTCTGTGGATCAGTTCTACTCTGTCACATGAGGTCACTCTGAGTCGCACTCGACTCCACGACTACTGCTAAAAAGAGGTAGAAAGGGAAGGAGAGAATTCGCCTGTGTTGAGTACCCACGTTCCACTGAGGGTTACATTAAGTGTTTCACAGGTGTAAGCAGGTGGGTGATGTATCCAGCCCCTTTAGGCAACCCAGGGCTCAGGTGGTAGCATTTGCCTGACTCTCAGCTAGTAAAAGACAGCAGGTGGGATCAAGAAAACTCTTAAACTGGGGGACCCCAGGTGTTTCAGAGGTGTTTAAAGGTAGATGCAAAGGTGCCTTCCCATGGGTCTGCAGTGAGAGCTGCATTTTTATTTTTATTGGGACCTCAGTTTCTACAGTGTCTTTACTCTTATTTGATAGCAATGAGGTGCAGTTGCGCTTTTTGTTCTTGTTCATCTTATGGTGCTTGTTTTACCTTTGGCAGGGAGACCTGGGGCCTTTTAACCCCGGTTTACCAGTGCAGGTGCCTCTGTGGCTGGCGATTAACCTGAAACAAAGACAGAAGTGTCGGTTGATACCTCCCGAATGGATGGATGTAGGTAAGGAGACTGTTGACACTTAAGTGTGGGTGGGCCAGATTTGGGGTGACACTCTTTCCTGGTAGGTGGAGGCACAAGGGCTCCCTCCTTCTTGGTTTTGCCCACTTATCCACTGATCAGCTGAAGAGCTTCAGGCTTCACTTCTTAGGAGGCTCTGCTTAACCACTGTTATGAATGTCATGTTTTAGTTTAAGTGAAATTTTGATTTTAGATATATCAACTTACTTTAAAATTTAAAATATTACGTGACCTTAAAGAAACACTTATTTTAATGTTTTTTTGTTGTTGTCGTTGTTGACAGTGTACACAGCAGAACATACACCAATTCAACAATTTCTACATGTATAGTTCAGTGACACTGATTACATTCTTCAAGTTGTGCAACCATCCTCACCCTCCTTTTCTGAGTTGTTCCTCCCCCATTAACATAAACTCCCAGCCCTCTAAGGTTCCTGTCTGATCTTTGGAGCTGCTGTTATTAATTTGATCCCATATATAGATCTTAAAAGAGCACAATGCTCAAGGCATACATTCTTTACTAAACTAAAAAAACACAGTCGTCGAGTTGATTCCGACTCATAGCGACCCCATAGGACAAAGTAGAACTGTCCCATAGGGTTTCCTAGGCTGTAATCTTTATGGGAGCAGATTGCCAAGTCTTTTCTCCTGTGGAGCCAGTGGGTGGGTTGGAACTGCCAACCTTTTGGTTAGCAGCCAAGTGTGCTTTAACCATTGTGCCACCAGGGCTCCTTATTCTTTACTAGTTAAGCTAGTTAAGCTAAACTACTGTTTGATTTTAAGAAGGGATACTTTCGGTTTAAGGTTTAAAGATTATCTCAGGACAATAGTTTGGGGATTTTTTTTTTTTTTTTAAATAAATAAGTAGGTTATTGTTAGTTGCCATTGAGTTGATTCTGACTCATGGCAACCCTACATGTGCAGAGTAGAACTGCTCCATAGGGTTTTCAAGGCTGTGACCTTTTGGAAGCAGTTTGCCAAGCCTGTCTCCCAAGGTGCCTCTGGGTGGGTTTGAGTCACCAACCTTTCTGTTAGTTGAGTGCTTAACTGTTTGCACCACCCAGGGACACCTACTAAGTATAGACTAGTATATTCAGGAGCAGAGGCATCAACTTACATTACAGAGAATGTATGAAAGTAGTGAGTCATCCATACAATGAAATATTATTTGGCCAGAAAAAGAAATGAAATTCTGATACGTGCTACAACGTACATGAACCTTGAAAATACTGTGTAAGTGAAAGAAGCCAAATGCAAAAGGCCACATATTGAATGATTCCATTTATATGAAATGTCCAGAATAGGCACATCCACAGAGGCAGAAAGCAGATTAGTGATTGACGGGGTAGGGGGAATAGAGGAATCGGGAGGGGAGTGATGACTAAAGGGAATGGCATTTCTTTTTGGGGTGATGAAATGTTCTAAAAGTCATTGAGATGATGGTTGTATAACTCTGAATATACTAAAAAGCATTGAATTATACACTTTTTTTGTTGTTAGTTGACGTAGTGTCAATTTCGACTCATGGCGACTCCATGTGTGCGTAGTAGAACTGTGCTTTATAGGGTTTTCAATGGCTGTGACCTCTCAGAAGCAGATCTCCAGGCCTGTCTTCTGAGGCACCTTTGGGTGGGTTCGAACCACCAACCTTTTGATTAGGAGTTGAGCACTTAACCATTTTTGCCACTCAGGGACATGAGTGAGTTGTATGCTATGCAAATTGTATCTCAGTAAAGCTTTAAAAAAAAAAGAAAAGATGCATTTAAAAATTCAGATAGGCTTTATCCTGAGCATTTGCCGTTTTTTCTCACCTCAGAGATACGAGGCTCATTATATTGAAGAATCTTCATTTGGAGGGGGTATGGAGGGCGTTGGGCATACATATAGAGTTTGAAAAGGCTCACTAATTGCCCCCTGCAATGGGAATCACCTGGGGATACCTACCTACTCAAAGCACAGTCACCTTTCAGCCAGGTGCACTTTAAGAAAAACTGGACGTTTCCCCTACTCCATCTCCTAAAGGGGTGAGTGAGGCTGGGAGTCCTGAGGTGTAAGGGGAAACCCCAATTCTTCCTGCTTTGAAGGGGCTTTGTTAGCAGGGAACCTTAGCAAGCCTGGCTCTACTGGTGCCATGTCCTCTCGAGGCTCCTTTTTTAAGATCAACTTCTGGCAGTTTGGGCCCATCAGACCCAAGGTGATGAGGTGATGGGGGACAAGAGCCTACCTCACAGCAGGCCAGAATCCGAGAGAGGCGGGGAGAGACTTGCCTGGAGCTTTGTGCATGGGCTTGGGCCATACTGTGGTCAGAAGAAAGGTGGGGGAAAGACTTTCTCTGCGTCCTGTGTGATCCTTGCATAGCAGAAATTTGGCAGGGATCTTGCCTGGGCAATACAGCAGTGTAACAACACTTTCTTCAGCTACATGCAGGTCACACTAAGTTTTTAAAAAAAGTAAGGAAGGCGTAATATGCTACAAGTCCCTGGGTGGTGCAAACAATTAAGCATTCAGCTGCTAACCAAAAGGTTGGTTGGTTCGCGTTCACTCAGAGGTGCCTCGGAAAAAAAGCTTGGTGATCTACTTTGAAAAAATCAGCCTCTGAAAACCCTATACAGCACAGTTCTACTCTGGCATACGGGTTATCATGAGTTGGAGTCGATTCAACAGCGACTGGTTTTAAGAGATTTAAAGGAAGAAAAGCCTTCATTTAGTTTTCCTGTTCCTTCTTTTCCTTTGCTTCAATTTTTCTATATACGTATCTTCATTCAACACATGTATTGAATGCCTGTTAGGTGCCCCACCATTTTAGCTGTTGGGGGTATGGCAGTGAACGAAAAGCTCCTTTTTTGGTGGAGGGAGGACAGTGAGCAAATAAATAGGTGTGTCAGGTGGCCATAAGTACTCTGGAGTGAAGATAAAGCAGGGTGAGGGGACGTTGGCTGAGGAGGTATAGTGGTGTTGCTCTTTTGTGGTCTGGGAAAGTGACATTTGAGGCAAGACCTGAAGGAACTGAGGGGGAAGAGTGATCTGGGGTGGGGGTTTTGGTGGTAGATTGTTTCTAAGGCATTGTAAGGATAGCGGCCCTTACTATGAAGCAGAAATCCATTAGATTTCTTTTTTTAAGTTTTCTGGATTTTAAAAATTGAGGCATAATTTACATACAGTGAAATGCACATATCAAAGTGTTCAGTTTGAGTTTTGACAGTGAGGTATACCCATCACAATTATATACACACATCACCTGAAAACAAGATATACAATAAAACCTGCGAAAGCTGGAACATACATAAGGCAGAGACCTGTCAGAGAAGGAAAACACAAATACTTCCCACTAATAGAAGGCAATAGAAAAGTGATTAAGACTGCACCCTGTCAAAGGTGGGAAACCTGTGAGACCTGGAAAAGCAAGGCAATCCCGTCGAGTTCCATCTCTCACAGGTTTCACTATAGTATAGAACATTACTGTCACCCCAAACTTTTTGTGTGCCTTTCCAGTCAGTATGCCCTGCCCAAGAGCCGACTGCTTTCTGACTTCTGACCCCATAGATTACTTTAACCTGTTCTTGGAGTTGAAATGAATGGAATCATCTATTATGTGATTTCTTGTGTCTGACTTCTGTTTTTCAGTGTAATGTTTTTGAGAGTCAGTCTGTTGTTGCACACCTCATTAGGTCATTCATATTTGTTGCTGAGTAGTTTCCACTGTGTGAGTATACCATTTTGTTTGCCCATTCTCCTGTTGCTGGGCTTTTGAATTGTTTCTAATTTTGGGCTATTGTGAGTAAGATTGCTATGTATATTCTTGTCCAAGTCTTTTTGTGGATATATGTCACTTTTCTTGGGTAAATAAATACAGAGGTGGAATTGCCTGGTCATGTGGTAGATTAAGCTTAACTTTGTAAGACACTGCCACACAATCTTTCGAAGTGGTTGTACAATTATTATACTCCACCAGAAACGTACTAGAGTTCCCATTGCTCCAAGTCCAGGCCAACGTTTGGTGTTGTCAGTCTTTTTGATTCATTGGAGGGTTTGAACAGGAGTGTTTTATAATCCAGTTTAGATAAAAAAATAAATAAAAGAATCACTGCTATGTAAGAAAGTCTGCATTTGTGTGTGTCGTGGGGGATGGGGGGAAGAGGGTGGAGGTCGGTTAGGGAGTTATCCTGGAAGTAGCTGAGAGAGAGTGTCTTGGACCAGTTGGTGGAGGTGCGTAGACATGGTTGGAGTCTGGGTGTGTTTGAAAGAAGACTCAGCTGGCTTTGTTGAAGGATTGGCCATGGGCGATGAGAGGAGCATTAAGGATAATCACCAAGGTTGTTGGCTTGAGCTGCAGAAAGAACTGGAATCTCCGTTTGCTGTGACAGGGAAGACTGCAGGAGCAGATGGTGGGCTGGAGTGGGAATCAGAGTTGGGATTTGAACATGTTACTCTTGAGGTGCTGATAAGCTATCCAAGTGAGAGTAATATACACAGTGGGACACTGAGTCAGGAGTTGTTCAGGGCAGAGGGCCGAGCTGGGTATGTAAGTTTGGAAGTCATTATTGTGAGCAAATAGACTGTATTCAAAGATGTGAGGCAGGACTAGATCACCTGAGATGTGAGTGTAGTAGGGAGATAGGGGGAAGGGGTCTGGGAACTGAGCTCTGTACTGCAGTGAGAGGTCAGGAAGGCAGGAGGAATTGGCTAGGGATGGAGAGGGAGCAGCCGGCGAGGTCAGAGAGAGCATGTGTTCCAGATGTTAGTGATGCATACGCTTCAAGGAGGAGGAGGTCGATGAATTGTCCACTGTGGAGGCTGAGAACTGGCCACTGGGTGGGGTGGCGTGGAGGTCATTGACCTGGGAGAGCTGTTTTGGGAGGGTTGGGAGAAATACCATCTGAGTGGTTTGGGAGCTAACAGATGAGAGGAAGTTACCATGTGTACAAGACAACGCTTGGTTTTGATGTACAGGGCATGAGAATGGATTGTAGCTGGGAAGGACTCGTGTTGGGGGAGGGTTTTCTAAGATGGGAGCTACTGCTGCATGGTGGATGGAATGACAGAATATGGGGGAAATGGCTTTCAGGAGGAGGAGATGTTGCTGGGGTCCTGCTCCTGTGTAGGTGAGAGAGGAGGGGCCAGTGCACTCTAGAAGCTGGTCGTAGAGCGGTGGAAGCTGGACATGCTCATTGGCTGCTCTTCTTTTCTCGTGAAATAGGGAGCAAGACATCAGTGAGAAGTGGGGCAGTAGGGTGAGGAGAGCAGGCGTGAAATGATCGGGGAGGAGAGGGAAGTGAGACGGTGAGTAGAGTAGGGAGCATAGGAGGGATTGCAGGACAGCACCGAGGGCCCTGGAGGTTGGCGGTCAGTGATGTACAGTGGGACAGCAGCCCAGAGTTGGGGTTGGGATTGGGATTTTCTATGGCTAGTAAGATGGAGAGGGGAGCCGGGGAGCTGAGGGTATGTGTGAGACGGTGACAATGATGGATAGAATTGGACTCAGCTGTTCCATCCCAGACACTGGGCTTTACACCAGCATGTTGTGTTATACTGCTCCAGACTCGGCTGTCTATAAGCGGTGAGGGGTCTTGCTGTCTTCTGAACAAGGCTTAGTGTAAATAAATAAGTTTTCTAGTCACTGGTTACTTTCATCACTTCTTGCATGATAGCTAAAATATTTGCTCCTTCCCTAGAAAAAGAACTTCTGGCTCTGACATACTCTTTTCAGTAATTTATTCTGCAGGCCAAAGCAACAACAAAAATTTACCTTCTCTGAGAGAAATTTTCAAGGAAATAGACCATGACCATCTAGTTAATGATACTAGTGTTGTTCCCAAAAGGTTTTATTTCCCATGAATTTATTAGTCAGTTGAATGGGTAATACACACACTTGTTAACTTGGGAAGGTTTAAACAATATTTTGGCTGTAGTGATGGTAAAATGTATTCACTTCTAAATTTCAGAAAAGTTGGAGAAGAGAAGGGATCATGAGCGGAAGGAAGAAACTTTTACCCCAATGCCTAGCCCTTACTACATGGAACTCACCAAACTCCTGTTAAATCAGTAAGTGCCTCTCTGCTCTTAGGACTCATAGGTGAGAGTGAGCTTAGGACTTTCCCTCCTGCCCCTTGCTCCTTGCTGACACCAAGTGGTACCCGCTGGCTCCAGGCCCCAGCAATCCCAAGTCGTTTTCTCTGCTCCCTCTCATTTTCCTTGGTCCCCACTCCCTGCTGTAAGTCCCTTGGCTCTTTACATTCTACCTCCTGTCACCTGACACTGGGCCCTAGAGTGAGCCACTGTTGCCACCTCTGGCAGTAGCCTTTTTTGTAATTGTGTTTTATTTCCTACACTGCTATTCCTTTTTCTTCTGCGGGTTTGTGTTCTGTGTCTCACAGGACCTTTAGCCAAAAGGAAAGTTCACTAGTGGCAACAACGCACTGTCATATAGCCTCTTCACTTGTTTGCCTACATCTAATGCTGTCTCCAGGTCTGCTCCTACTTCATCCTAGTTACAGCTGGAGTGGCCCCTGCTGACAGTGCTCAGAGGCTTTCCCTTGACATGTTGCTCAAAGTCCAGCACAGCCAGACATCCGCTTCCTTCACCCCTCTCACAACCCCCCAACCTAAACGGGCAGCGACCTTGTCTTGTATGCAGCTCGGCCCCTACACCTAGCATGTGCCTGCTGCTCCTGTGGCTTGTTCAGTGAATGAATGAATGGACTCAGTGGAGGGGCAGGCAGGGGTGGGCAATTTTGATTGGCATTTAAAATGTACTATGCAAAATGTCAAGCTGGTGAAGCTCCCTGAGCAGCTGTTAATTGATGTGCTCAAGAGCAGAACTAGGCAAAATTTGGGAGCTCCCTACTGCCTGCTGTCAGGCAGTAGACAGGCCGGGGACCACTGAATGGCACTGAATTTAACTGGAAATTTGGGTATGGAACATGCACTTGCCCTTAAATTGGTGATAGGCTTCAGCTCACCTATTCACTCCATAAAGCTGGAGTACCAACAGTATACTAAGCTCTCCATGGCCTAGATGTTCCCATGGGCTCGAGTTCCATGTGAGCATGTTTACCAGAGTTAAACTGCAGTAACAGTGCTGTTCAGAGTACATCAGGCCTAGTGGTGCCAGCGAAGGGTTCAGAGGCGGCTCCTTCGGAGCCCTGGCTTGGAGGAGGAAAGCTTCTCTCGGTGGGTAAAAGGAGGGGATGGGACTGGTGTCCACAGGTGCTGCAGTGTGGCAGGGCATGGTGTACCTGGGACCAGGGGGCTCTGGCACATGGAGAATGTGTGAGGGAACAGTGGGTGCCAAGGCCCCCTCATCTGCAGGTGATGTTTGAAGCAGGGTGTGCCGCCAGAGGGCCTGCAGGGGCAGTGAGGACAGGCTGGGAAAGTGTGGCTCTGGAGCAGCAGACTAGGTCAGAAGTGGTTGCTGTTGTCCAGGGGAGAGGGTGCAGCCTGCTCAGTTTTAGTTTTCAATGTTCAATATACACCTACTCACTTACTATCTTTGTTATCCAGTATTTCACATTTACGACAATAGTAAAAAATCTATCCAACCATTTTGCACATTAATGACATATGTCTGCCAGTAACAAACACTGAGGTGCGAGGTGAGAGTAACACTGGCTGTGATAGTTGAAGTTATGTGTCAGGTTGGCTGGGCCATGATTCTCAGTGGTTTGGCAGTTACGTAATGATATAATTTGGCAGTTATGCAGTAATGTAGTCACCCTCCATTTTGTGATCTGTGTGGTCATCCTCCATTTTCACATAATGCTGACTTTTGCATAATGACCTGGTCTTTGGAACATCAACAGTGGGTGTATAATGTATGCAGCTTCTAGCACAAACCTTGTTTTACAATTCTTCTGGCTAAGGGACCTAATTCCACCTTCGTTCTGCAGTCTAGTTGACAAGGACCTGGGGTCCTTTGTTCTTTAACTTGCCGTGCAGGACTCAACAATCTGTGTGTTTGGATTCATAAATAAAACTCACTGGATAAATGTCATACTAGATAATGCCTACCTTATCCTAGAATGCCCAGTGGTGGACAGTGTTTGCTTCTGCTTTATATTGGAGGGATTCTGGTCTGTCTTTTCCTTCAGAGGTCAGTTTAAAGCTATCTCATGAGGAGGCTGAGCGCTTGGCCCTCAGAGCTTTGGCTCAGAGCTCTGCTGTGGGCAGGTGTGCTCGGCTGGTGCTCATTGGCAGTTTGATCTGTAAAGTGGGTGACACCTGACCTTCCAGGTGCCTGCAAGGAGAGAGACTTGGTGCAGCGCCGGGGCTGTTGTTCTCCCTGGCCTCACCCACCACCCCCACCGTGCCAATTGTGAGCCCTCAGACTACTAGCAGGGCATAGTGATCTGTTCAGCATTCCATAGGTATCGAGCCATTGACACCGTTACCTGAGTCAGCCCCTGAAACATTCCTTCTCAATGGAAATTACACAGTGCAGTGCTCCTGAACCAGAGGCTGTCCAGCATGGAGCCTGTCTTCCAGCATACAGTTTCAGGTAGACAGTAGTCCTTGTACAGCAGCCTGCAGTGGGCCAGCTCACATGAGGTAAAAGAACTCTGTGAGGAGCGCAGTGGAATTTCCTTGGCACCAAGCTCAACTGCCAGAAATCCTTACATGGTAAAATTGAGAACAAAACAAGACAAATTTTCCAACTCTAGAACAGCTTGCATCTTTCACCTGAACCCAAACAGTATTTCTTAAGCCACTTCTGTTGCTCTGGTTTACTGAGTGTTTAATCTGTTTCACCTCTTGCTTCCTTTAGTGCTTCAGACAACATCCCTAAAGCAGATGAGATCCGCACTCTGATCAAGGACACATGGGACACTCGGATGGCAAAACTCCGGGTCTCTGCTGACAGCTTTGTGAGGCAGCAGGAGGCACACGCCAAGGTAGGGAGCAGCACTGCCCCATTTGTGTGGGCCTGCTGTGAGGGGACTATCACGTGGTGGGCTGCCTGCCTGGCTACGCAAGCAGGCTTTAAAAAACAGAAGTTTTTAAGAAACAGGCCAACTTGCCCAGAGTAGCCGTACCTTTTACATTCTTTAAAAAAAAAAACAATTATTGGTTCCTTATTTTCAATGAGTAGTATCCTTTGTCTCGTGTTTCAGCTGGACAACCTGACCTCAATGGAGATCAGCACCAGTGGGGCTTTCCTTACCCAGGCGCTCAACCACATGTACAAGCTCCGCACCAGCCTGCAGCTCACGGACAGCACCCAGTCCCAGGACTTCTAGAGCAAGGCCTCCAATTGGTAAAGGCTGTGTAGCTGGTGGCCTGCTGGGTGCCATGTGAGTGCTTCTGGAAATGATTTAAGAGAGGTACTCATAGTTCTGGATGGCCATCTAGAAATAGTTCTAAATGTATGAAAAATACGCAAGGATGCAAGCAGTGAATTTGTGATGCTGTCAGAAGCTGCGGGTTTGTGTTTTGTCCACCAAACTTGGCTCTCTGAATAGTCTTCAATCCCACATCTATCTCTAGAAGCCATCTTTTCTTTCTGGGGGCGGGGGGCTTTTTATTTTTATGCACAAAATGGCCGCACATGACTGAGCGTACCACGTCTGTGAGTGTTGCTTTTAAAAGATACAAACACAGTAGACGTGGAGGCTTAAGTCTTTCTTTGCTCCTGGATCTTGACCTCGGGCTAAATTTAGAATCTACTGACACTGCTTACAGAGAAGGCTGGCAGATGGAGTGGCTAGTGATCTGGAGCTGTGTTTGATAAGCTATGCCCTGACATACAATAAAAACGAATCAACCCAAACCTGAGACTCTTTGTGGGATTTCCGTCCTGTGTAACTACCAAGGGAGAGGTGCAGACCCCATGGTTAAGATGACGTGATAAACCAAGACAGAGGTGGGCACTCTGGGGGCCTCTGTTCTCTTGGCTGCTTCTCTGGTGGTGGTGTAATGTGTTGTTTCTTGAGAGATGTTATTGAGCAGAGGAGTAACACTTAAGACAGTGCTGGGAAGGAAAGTTGAACCTTTCACTTTGCTCTTGGATTTAGAACCTTAGCATTTTGAAACTGCTAGGATCCTCAGAAATGATGCTTGCTACCTTGAGAGGCAGAGTGAGAAGCCCCACCGTGAGAAGGCTTTGTAGCCAGTTTTCAACTGTAGAACCTGGCTGTCAAAGGCAGTGGCATGTGGCCTCTCAAGGGTTTTGTGCAGAGTGTGTGTGAGAGCAACTAGCCCTCTGTCCTGTTGTATTTAAGTCCAAACCTACTTCAAGTGCTATTTTCTGTTTTAAATTGCTACCTGGATGTCCCTGTAACAAGTGGCTCTTGGTTATTGTCTGAGCCCCCAAGAGCGAGACACTGAGGGATGAGACATGATCCCATGATTGAAGGTGACTGTTCATTCATCTCCCTGGGACTTGGAATCCTTCAGATTGAATGTGGGGCTCTTCCCTTGTAGTTGTGGGAAGTCAGGTGTCCTGTGTCTCTTAGCGCTCATCCTTTCTCATAACTCTGGCTGAGCTACAGCCTCTGTCAGTTGTTCTGGGCTCTTCTGGCCCTCATTTTATTAATATAAAAAAGATTTTCCTCTTAACATGATTTAGGAGAATTTTATTTTATTTTTTGAATGTTGTCAGAAATTACAGCAATATATTCATAAATACCTAATTACTACATTCAACAAATAATATTACAATACAATGAATTCAAACAAGTACACTTAGAACAGGTTTAATTTCACAGCATCTAAACTGCCCCCAGTGTGGTCGAGGCACGGTCCTCCTCCCTCCCAGGTACTGGTTTACTGGTCTAGCAGGTAAGCACAGGGTACATACAAGGAACATACCGGTCGGCACGGTCCTTAGCAGGCAGAGGGAGGGAGTGTCTTAAGTTAAGCACTGGATCACAGTTTGGGAACAGGCTACAGCAAGGAGGAAGAGTCAGGTTGGTTGCTGCTAAGTGGCTACTATACACTTCAGAGTACCAGACCCGGTTGTGCTGACCATCTCCATCTTGTGGTGGGTCCTTGGAACTTTCTGCCCTTACATCACAAAGGTCAGGGAAGGGGCTGCCTGTGGTGAAGTTCAGCCGAGTGTTAGGGGTTGGCAGCATTGTGAACTACTGGAGGGAAACACCATTCCACCTATACATTTACAATTTCTGGTATTGTAATTCTTTGCTACTGGAGGAGTGGACTCCTTTTAATACTCTTCTGGATTTCCTTAAGGGTACAGAATGCTAAATGCCAATTAAGTGTGTGATTTCCTTTAAGGTTAGAATGTAGATTAAAGTGTTGAAACTTCCTGTTTTGGTCACTTTTATCTGAGACAGCGGGTTAGGATCATGATATTTTAGTTTGTCTCTGATATGAAACAAAGATATTTTCAAATTGTCAGCTTGTGTAGCACCAAGTTTTGGGGAAAGCTTTGTTTTTAGTACTGCAATTAAATGTGGAACCATGTGACTTAGCATTAGAAGATGTCATGAGTTTAGAGGACAGATGGTCTCTTCCAGGTAATCTAGGAAGACATTTCCAGACTGAGGTCCTCCCACAAATACTGACACAAAGCCTGCATCTTAGAGCAAATGTGGTGTATTTCTGAACGGTCCGTGTGAAATAACTGAACAACAATGAAAGGCTTCAGCGATTGCATATTTGTCTATTTTTGTTAAACCCAAATTGAAAATAGATGCTACTGTGTTCTCTCTCACTAGAATCATCTGAAAGTAATCAAAAGTGTTTCAGATTGTGAAGCTAATCAGTGGAAGGGTACTGTGTGTTAGCGGTGGTGCCGTTTTGTTTCCAAGAGCTGCTTTCTTGTATTTTTCTTTGTGCATGGTGCTTTCCTGGGTTATGTTTCTATTCTCTGATTGTCAGTATCTCTAGAGCCCAAGAATACTGAGAGAGCTCCACAGATAAGTAGGAAGATGGTGAGGTGGAGTGGTAGAGAATCTCAAAAGCAAGATAAAGATATGATTTCAGTCAGAGGAAAAAGTTATCACTAGTTCATTGACACAGCTGCCCCTGGGCAGAGACCTTTCTGGAATGGCCAATCCCTTTATCCCACATGCCATGAGCTCCCCTTGATGGTCAAAGGGACGGGGTGTGCTTTTCTCTGAAGTCATTATATCTGCTTTCCCCCCTTTACTCCAGCCAAGGCCATTACCAAAGCTGAGTACACCAAAAGCATCCAGACATGTTCTGTGATGCAGGAGGAGGGCTAGGAGTGAACTGCCAAGACGTGACTCTTAGGCCTTCAGACCAGAAACAGCAAGCAGATTTTAAACAGAGAAATTCAGGAGTATTTTGCTCTGGTTGTTGGCAGTACTGCTCGCTCTAAACAAACACCTGTCCCCACCTGTGGGAAACGTTCATCTCAATGTCTCTGCAGGGGAGGCAGCCCCAGCGCAGCCTTAAAGCTCTTCAAAAGTCAGAGCTATGGAAAGGAGGGCGCTCGCTGACTGCTGATAATACTGGCGGCACTGTTTGTCTGAGTTTGCTAATAACTGGAAGATTCTTGGCAGACATACAAAGCAAACTGTGTGGGAACAGATAAAGCGACACAATGCCATCTGCCAGCAAGCTGTTCTGCACAGCAGAGGTCTGGGCTGAGGGCTCCACCACAGAGCACAGGGAATAGCCTCCACAAAGGTCAGACAGCCCTTCACCTGACCCACGACCAAGGGGGCCCTGCCTCTGGGAGGTTCATGTCTCCTCTTCCCCTTGCCCACAGCCAGCCACTGGCCTTGCCCTTCGATGACACGCTGCCTGGACAAACAACAGCTGGGACGAGGACAGACTTCTCCCCACTGCTTCTCCTGGACGTAGTGACCCCTGTCCTAGCACTGCTGTGCCTGTCACAGTAAGTTCAAGAGGAGGAGAGAGTTAGCTCGGAAAGTGTTCACTCTACTTTTAGGCTCTTAAACAAAGCTTTGCATCTAAAATGAAGCCTCTCAAGTTCCTACTTTGCACCTGCTCTCAGACTGCTGTAAAACAGCATCAGATCTCAAAAACTGCTCACCTCCAGAAGGTTCTTTAACAAAAGCCCCACGTTGTGTGTGCCACGAGTGCATGCACATGAGGACTAACTTGTTCCCACCACAGACTGTCCCCTTCTCACTTCATAGCAACTCGTCCAAATGCCAGGGGAGGCAGAGAGGGAGTGAAGGAAGGAGGTAAGAAGTATGCATGGCTTTCTACATCATTTCCTGGTGCAAATCAAATTAAAAATGAAGTGATCGCATAGGCGCCAGTGGTAAGCTCTTTTACTTTTCTTTTTCTTTAATTTTAAAAACACATCAATATTTCAATGTCCTGACCAGCAGCAGTACAAACACTAAAAGCAAAGTTTTTTTTTTTTTCCCTTTTGCCCATAAAAACAAAAACAAAAAACAAAACCCCCAAACAGGAAAACAAACAAAAATTCCCCAAACCACATATTAAAAATGGCAGGCTTTTTATAACAATAATTAAAGTAATAAAAACATACAAAACTTTGTTTTTAATATATATACACAGTACAAGGCCGAAGCACCTTTGACTTTTCTTTCAAAACTTTACGTTTGTATGAAAACCTCACCCACGGCAGCAACAATTTGGTGGGTGTGGATATATGTATATATAGAGCTCTGTACATTTCCCCCCACGGAGTAACAAAAAGGTACCTTCAGTCTGTCGCTTCCTTTACTTTTAGGGCAGAGCTTTTCCAGTGCACAGCCTTTGGGTGAGTCTGTAAGTACTGTTGATTTGTGTGCTCCTAGATCTCGTGCTTGCAAGAAAATTTTGCAGAAAAGTAACTGAAACAAATAAGCCCTTTACTTACAACGCACCCAACCTTCTTTTCAGCAGGAGCAATGTGACCTAGCCCCTCATAACAGCAAGAGCAAACCCGGTTCTTTAGGCAGAGTGACACAAGGAACACCACTGGTGTTGCCCAATCACATACACCCGGGGCCTGTAAGTGGTAAGCTTTTAGTGTTGGTAATGGAGCCTTCACTTTCAGATTAAAAATGATGTGGGGGAAGAATAAAACCGCCTTTAAGGAAAAAAACCTATGGGCTTCCTACATTGGCTGCGTGCTGAATTACCAAGGTGATTCAGTTGCATGGAAGTCAGGTGAGCTCTTTTTTTCTGGAGTCTGGAAATCCTTTCCTTCATGCATGGCACATTCTCATTAAGCTTCAAACCTCCCAGTGAAAAATATTAAATATTCAAGGTAATAAAATAGATATTATTTCTATACTATAGGTTCGGCCTAGTGCAAGGGAAACTGTCACCTAGGATATCCCTTAAAGTAACCCCTAGGCCAGTGCATCGCAGGCAACGCAAGGCACTTCCGTAAGTGGTCCAGTTCTGCCTGGAGTCGTTCCCTTTCTGAAACAATCTTCTGTTTCTGGCTCCTTAACTCCTGGAGAGAGAAAGAAACGGAAGTCAAAACAAACTCATTTCATACTCTAAGGAAATGTGAGCTGCACAGATGGGCCAAGTGCTGTGCTGATAGACATACCCTCAACACTCTGAATATGCCATCTCCCAGTGGAGTGTGCCGACAGTGGCCTTTGGAGCAGTCTGGTTTTCCCAGAGCCCTGGATTCTCAAAATACCCGTTCTCTCCTAGAACCACTGTCCATTCACGGCCTCAGCTTGAGCCTGGGGTTCTTAAAAAGTCAGCTTGAGCCTGGGGTTCTTAAAAAGTCAGCCCCAATGATGCTATAAAACTTTTGCTGCTTCAGGAATAGTCCAGATCTGGAGACCTGGTTTGAGGCCTGCCCCTTGCACACTGGAGGAAGCCTAGTAGGTTTATTTGCTGTTAGCTGGAAAACTTGCCAAGCCCAGCTGAAAGCTGGCATGAGGTAGTTTTTGCCTCAAGAGTGTTCCTTCTCCAGTAAAATCTCCTTCCTCCTTAAGTAAATCACTGTAGAAGTAGATGGATATAGGCAGTAAGTAAATCCCCAAAACAGACACACAAATAGCATCTTTACCCTTCCAGGGTCAATACCCTATAAATTTAAGACATCTTCCTCCTTAGCTAAACCCTTGAGTCATCAACTGAATCTCATTTTGACTACAAGTTTTGATTTCTGAAGAGCAGGGCTTCCCCTCAAAACTTGTCCTGAACTCAAGCCTGAAGGAAGAAGCTGCACTGTGTGCCTGAAGCAGCCCTGGGATCCAGTGTCACGGCTGACTCACCACCATGCTATGGGAGAGCTGCTCCGCCGTCAGGCTGAGGCTATAGTGCTGGGCCTCCAGCCGCCGGCACTGTGTCTGCAGCACGTGCCGCTCCAGATTTTGCTCTGAAAAGACAAGAGGCGTGATCGCTTCAGTGCACAGGAGCCACAAAGGACTTTGGCAGGTGACCCACTCTCACCCCGGCAGCCCGTCCCCAGTGCAAGCAGCAGTACACCATGGTGCTTCACCTTCAAACCACACTGGTGAGTGAGTGTGTAAGGTACCTACTTACATCCATCCCCTCAGAGTAAGGACAAAGGATCTCGAATCAAACGGCAATTTAAGGAATTCAGATGAAGTCATTCTGGGTGAATATATGGCCTTGAAATTAATTCTTTCAAAAAGAAAAGATTAAAAATAAGAGCTAGGCTTTCAGTTTAAGCTGCTGGATAAAGGCCAGAGTAAAAGAGAAGGGAAAAAAGGTGAGTACCTAAATTACTACAACAGAAAACATGAGGGTGATATAAAGAGTTCAATAAAACCAAAACCCAACCAAGAATGAAGAAAAAAGGGCAAAGGCACAAGGAACAGTAAGTATTAAGGATAAAACAGACCTTAGCCACTGATGGTCGAGAATGACAAAATCCTAGAAAAAAATAGGCTACCTGACCAAATGTAGAAAGGCCAGAACCACCTTGATAGTAAAGTACAATTAAAATTAGAGTCCAGTACCACTTATAACTACCACCTGTCAGTTGTACTGGGGTGACTTATGTATTGCTGGAAGCTATGTCACTGGCATTTCAAATACCAGCAGGGTCTCACAGGTGGACAGGTTTCAGTGGAGCTTCCACAGTAAGACAGACTAGGAAGAGAGGCCTGGTGATCTGCTTTCGAAAATCAGCCAATGAAAACCTTATGGATCACAACAGAATACTGTCCAAAACAGTGCTTGGAAGATGAGGCCCCCTAGGTTGGCAGGCACTCAAAATGCAGTGGCCTCAACCTTGGACTGGAGCACACCAACAATTCCAGATAGTTCAGCAAGGTTGCTCAATACAAGACAACATGTAAGAAAAGCATTTCTATAATAAAGCATACAACCAATTAGAAAATGTAATGGAAACAAAGATCATGGTCACAAGAAAAAAATAAGCGATACCTAAAACTAAATCTAATATAACTTATGGGAAAAAAAAACAGTAAAAATGATTTAAGTTTTATACCATATTCATAGACTGATGACATAAGCATCAAGAATGTCAATTCTCTCCAAATCTGTAAGTTTGCTGCATCTGAAAAAAAAAATTTTTTTTTTTTTTGGTGTACCTTTGGGAAAGCCAGAACCAGGGGCAGCAGCTGTGCTGCTGAGGTGACAAGGACAGGGTGGCAGGGCACACAGGAGCAGCCCCAAGACCACCCTTGGCACATGTGAAGGTGGTACACCACAGAGCAAACCCCAGGGGAAGAGGGGCCCTTCCAGAAACCACCAGGATAAATGGTTATCTGTGCATGGAAAATGAAATTAGCTCTCTACCTGACTCCACACACTGTAAATGCTATGTGTAACAAGAAAAGCAGAACTTGAGGAACATACCAGCTGACCCTGGGGTAGGGAAGGATTTCCCATATAAGGCACCAAAACCACAAACCCGTAAAAGATGGATATGTGTCCATTAAAGACCAACATGGTTTGCCTTTACCTGCCTGGGGAGGACTGCACCCCTGCTGAGAATAAAACATTCTGGTTCCTGACCAGGGCCTGCCTCCCCTGGCAAAGTGCCAGCTCAATGCTAAACGGAGTCATCAGCCTTGTTGGAGTCTTGAGGTCACGGCCTGTAGGCTCAGGCAGCAGCCAGGCTGGCTGTGGGGCTCAGCTCGTTCTCCAGGACCCTGTGCATAGCCCAGGTAGGGCTCAGGGCTGGCTGAATTAGGAGGCGGGGGAGGAGGGGTCGTGGCACTATACATCCCCATGAGAATAGCCTCTGGTTTCTTCCACGACAAGGAAGCCTGGCCACCTCCAAGCCTGGGGATGGCTCTTGGAGTAGGCCGAACATCTGAGCAAACCTACGTCTCACTTGGACAAAACCCTCTGGTATTTATATCTAGCTGTGTCCCAGGCCATCTAGGCTCTGGTAGTGTCACTTAGAAACAGTCACCAAGATGGAAAAACAAATCACCAACTTCATATGGAAAGAGAAGAGGCCCAGAATATATAAAGCATTACTCAAGACGAAGAACAAAATGGGAGGCCTCAACACTACCTGACTTTAGAACCTATTATACCACCACGGTAGTCAAAACAGGCTAGTACTGGTACAACAACAGATACATAGACCAATGGAACAGAGTTGAGAATCCAGACAAATTTATCCACCTTCGAGCAGCTGATATTTGACAAAGGCCCAAAGTCCATTAAGTAACAATGCACAAACACCAGAAGAGAAACTAGATAACTGGGAGCTTCTAAAAATCAAACACTTATACTCATCAAAAGACTTCACCAAGAGTAAAAAGACAGCCTAGAGACTGGGGAAAAAATTTAGGGATATGACAAATTGGATCCATGTCTAATCTCTAAAATCTACAAGATACTGCAAAACCTCGACAACAAAAAGACAAATAACCCAATTAAAAAATGGGCAAAGGATATGAACAGGCACTTAGCCAAAGAAGGCATTCAGGCGGGTAACAGACACATGAGGAAATGCTCACGATCATTAGCCATTAGAGAAATGCAAATCAAAACTACAATGAGATATCATCTCACCCCAGCAAGGCTAGCATTAATCAAAAAAATGCGAAAAAAAGTTGGAGAGGTTGTGGAGTGACTGGAACACTATTATACACTCTTGGTGGGAATGTAAAATGGTACAACCATTTTGGAAGTCGATTTGGTGGTTCCTTAAAAAGCTAGAGATAGAAGTACCATACGATCCAGCTATCCCACTCCTTGGACTCTATCCTAGAGAAATAAGAACCGTCACACGAATAGATACACGCACACCCGTGTTCATTGCAGCACTGTTCACGATAGCAAAAAGACGGAAACAACCTAAGTGCCCATCAATGGATGAACAGATAAATTATGGTATATTCACACAATAGAATACTACAGAACGATAAAGAACAATGAAGCTGTGAAACATAACATGGTGGAATCTGGAGGGCATTATGCTGAGTGAATTTAGTCAGTCACAGAAGGACAAATACTGTATAAAACCATTATTATAGAACTCAACAAAAGGTTTAAACACAGAATAAAACATTCTTTGATGGTTACGAGGGTGGGGAGGGAGGGAGAGGGTTACTCATGTAAGAATTATCTTACATGAAGGGAAGGACAGCACACACTACAGGGGAAGTCAGCACAACTGGACTAAACCAAAAGCTAAGAAGTTTCCTGAATACAACCAAACACTTCAAGGGACAGAGTAGTAGGGGCAGGGGTCTGAAGACCATGGTTTCAGGGGACATCTAGGTCAACTGGCTTAACAAACTTTATTAATGTTCTGCATCCCACTTTGGTGAGCGGCATCTGGGGTCTTAAAAGGTAGTGAACGGCTATCTAAGATGCATCAATTGGTCCCCACCCACCTGGAGTAAAGCAGAATGAAAAACACCAAAGACACAAGGAAAATATTAGCCGAAGAGACAGAAAAGGCCACATAAACCAGAGACTGCATCATCCTGAGACCAGAACTAAATGGTGCCCAGCTACCACCAATCACTGCCCTGTCAGGGAACACAACAGAGTCCCTGAATGAACAGGAGAAAAGTGGGGTGCAGAACTCAAATTCTAGTAAAAGACCAGACTTAACGGTCTGAGACTGGAGGAACCCCAGAAAGCATGGCCCCTGGACTGTCAACCCAGAGCTAAAACAATTCCCGAGGCCAACTCTTCAGACAAAAGATTAGACTGGACTATGGGACATAAAATGATACTTGTGAAGAGTGTGCTTCTTAGCTCAAGTAGATACCTGAGACTGAATGGGCAGCTCCTGTCCGGAGGTGAGTTAAGAAGGCAGAAAGTTAGGAGCTGGTTGAATGGACACAGGAAATCAGGGGTGGAAAGGAGGAATGTGCTGTCACAGTATAGGGAGAGCAATTAGGGTCACATAACAACATATGTATAAATTTTTGTATGAGAGACTAACTTGAATTGTAAACTTTCACTTAAAGTACAACAATAAAAAAAAGAAGTCACCAAGGTTGGCAACAAAATCCTGCATTCATTGATCTATTAAGCTTTCTTTCACTCCCCCCCCCCCATTTTTACCTTCTATATGTTCCTGGTAAGCTTCAAAAATGGCCTCAATCCCCTGCCACTTCCGTCTGGGGGCTTCCTCGTCTTCCTCTTCTCCATCTTCCTCGTCATCATCATCCTCCGAGTCCTGGTCCATCTCCTGGGTGATGGGGCCCTTCCTCCCTGGTGGGGGCTCCTGCTGGCCATTGTGCTGGGGTCGGGGGAGCCGGCTGGAGGACTGCAGCTCGGGAATGTTGTAGTGGACAGATGTGTCCACCTTGTGGTTCTGCTCTGCCGACAGCACAGCCGCGTGCCCTGTGGGAAGGAGGGAACCAGGCTCAGGCCATGGTGCCTGCAGGGACTAACAAGGAGGGGAGGGGCACGAGAGAGAAGGGGCTTGCCCTGCCCCTTGGCAACAAGTTCCCATGGCTGCAGGTCTTCAGGTAGGCCAGCCCTATGCAGTATCCAAGGCAGCATCATTAGAAACAGAAACGCACCGAAATTTTGAGCTTTCTAGTCGGCACACCTGCACTCCAGTCACAGTGCTGCATCCTAATATGTGATGCAGGTATTCAGGTTTTGCCTTCCACCAGGAGTTGGCTTGGGCTGCGATCTGTGCGAACAGGCATGCCCATAAAGACAGAGGTTCTGCCTGTCGCAGGTGCAGCCCCACGGCAGACCAGAAGGCTGCTGCCCCGGCATGGCAGGGACCAAACAGTCAAGTATGATGTTAGGAAATGGCTGAAATAGAAAATGTAGGAAGACATGGTCAGGAAGCCTCTGAGGAGTCTTGGTGACATGGTGTCTGCAAGCAACACAGCCCGAATGCCCGTGAGTTTCTACAAAGATCTCAATGCCACTGTAGCTTCTCCTTTAGAGACCATGGGAAGGAAAATCCTCCATCCTTAGGAAGGGAGACAGTTTACATCTGTTCAAAATATTTCCATTGCATCCTTCCAAGTATATTCACGACAAAAACCCTAGAAAGCACTCCTCTCCGTTTTTAAAATCATTGTCATATCTATATTTTAAAAAAAATGCTTTTTATACTTTCTAGTAATAAAAAGGAGCCCTGGTGGTGCAGTGGTTAAGAACTTGGCTACTAACCAAAAGGTCTGGCAGTTCAAATCTACCAGCTGCTCCTTGGAAACCCTATGGGGCAGTTCTACTCTGTCCTATAGGGTCACTATGAGTCCGAATCAACTTGATGGCAACAGGTTTGGTTTGGTTTTAGTAATAAGCTTAAAAATGGTTTTGGCAAAACTATTTCTTCTGGTGATTAAAGTTCACAGAAATTTATCATGCACAATAGTTATTCAATTGTTGAGGATTGTTTTCTAATCAACCATAGCTTTTGACTCAGTGGTAATAAAACATGGCTACCCCATCTTCTGACCTTCACGACTCCCCACTGGCGTCTCCAAGGGGATGATCACGGGGGCTCCAGCAAGGGCTGACTGGACCTGAGACTGGAGTGCGTGCCGCCTGGTCAGCCCTGTGGGGGTGCTGGGAAAGTACCACCCGCAGAGTGCCCGGTGGGCTATGTGGCAAGGCCCCACTTTGTGGCCTTACTAAAACCAGGTGTTTCTACTCATGTAGATGGCACGTTTGCTGAATGTTCTGGGGTGGGGTCTGCAGATAGTGAGCAGCGCTGGTATCACCTGGGGGCCATTAGACTCTCAGGCTCCACCAGTGCTACCAAGTTAGTACACCTCCTCTACAGTCACTCATCATGACTTGAGTGCACGGGGGCCTGCGAGGCCTTGTGATGGGCACCCAGAGGGGCGGCCACAGCCACGGGACAGCTGGCCATCTAGAATGTGCGGCAGCAGGGCTGAGCCAGGAGCAGCAAGTTACCTTTGTGCTTCTGCAGGGCCTTCTGGGTGGACTGCAGCACCGACTCGTGGAACTGGTGTGCGAACTCCTCAGCCAAAAAAGGCTCCCAGGGCTTGCTCTTGCCATTGATGCTGTGCGACAGTGGCACGGGGATGTCCTTGGGCGCAGGGCCCCGAATGCAGTGCAGCAAGCTTAGGCCCTTCTTGCTCCCAGGTGCCTCGCCCAGTCTGGCCTTCTCACTGCAGGCAGGAGCCGGCTCCTGGGACTGGAGCGGATCAAGTCTCCCGGGCTCCACAGCCTTTGGGACGTCAGACAGGGATGCAGCGATGCCGACGGGCTTATCTGTTTCCAGGGAGGCCTGCTGCGTGGCTGGTTCTTTTAGAAACAAAGTGAGAGAAAAGGTTAAGAACTGCAAGTTCACAGGCCAAGTGTCCATCACACGGACACTGACCACCACAGCAGAGACCTAGTGAAGACCCCAGTATAAGCCAAAGATTCAGGGGATGATTAATTACAAGTCAGCAAACATTTTTATGGTCTGAAGACACGGTGTGGTTAGGAACAAGTACACCCTTGAAAGGTGCCTTGGGAAGGTGTCAAGAAGAAAAAGGATATGAGCGAAGAAGCAAGTCACTGAGTTCAGGCCACTAGAAACGTAGGAAGTTAAGAGTCTTAATAGGGCAAGACGACCCATGAGGAGCCAAGAGGGATCGAATGAGTGACTCACTGCTCCACCCAGGAGATGGAGAGGCATAAACAGCCATGAGCACAGTGAGAGGTGTGGAAGCGAGTGCTGGAGAGTTCTGAAAGGCAGAGAGCACAAGAGCAAGATGCAGGGAAAGAGTGCCATGGAGGGAAGACAGAAGAACAGTGGCCTAGACAGAGGCTGCCAGGCAGAGCACTGTGGGCCGCTGGGCTGGATCACAGAGCCTCCACACCCAGAAAGCTGGGACCCCCAACTCTGAGCCCCAAGGAGACTCTGTACACTGTGCAGAAAGCCACACATCACATGAAAGGGGTGCAGAGAAACACGGTCTTCAGGAGGCAGGTTCAAGATGAAGATGCGGCCACCAGGACCAGAGTCCGGAGCACCGCCTGCCCCAGCAGCCCTGCGGGCATCCCGAGGCGGTGGCCAATGGGGCTATGTCCCGCCCCGCGCCTTACCGCTCAGGGAGGCAGCAAGACTGTCCCTCGGAGCATGCGTCAGTGCACCCGCCACTGCGGCCGACAGTGTCTTCTGCTTCATGGCACGGAGCATTTCAACAAGCCTCTCTGTGTCTGTGAGGAAAGCAGCCCGGGATTAACAAGGCCGAGGAGTCATTCTGGGGAAAGGGGGTTAGGTCCCAGACCGGCTGCAACTAGCAGGGCAAGACCGTGCAACCAAGATCAACAAGAGGCAAGAGCCACCAGGTGCGTGGTCAGGAGGAGCCTTCAGTTTTGAGCCCAGACTCCTCTCAGCCTTCACTGTGCAGTGCTACAGCCTAGTCCCCAAAGCACTGAGTGTATGGCTACTATGGCCGTGGGCACCTGTGGGCTTCCGGGGAAACCTCTGAGGATGCATTCTTATTGAAGAGAGAAGAGTCAGTCCCAGCACAAGGAATAACCGGGGTCAAGAAGCACAGCCAGCCCTGTGTGCCCCTAATGACCACTGCCCCCTCACTGAGGAGGGGACCTGTGTCAGGACCATCTCTGGCCACATCGCCTGTGATGTCCTCCAGGAATCAAGCCAGACAAAAACAAAACTATGCCCATTTCCAGGGATTTGTACTGGTGACAAACACATTACTATTTTAAGGGAGTCCCTGGGTGGAGCCAATAGTGAAGGCACTTAACTGCTAACTGTAAGGTTGAAGGTTTGAGTCCACCCAGGTCACCAGACCTTTCTTCCAAGGTGCGTCTATATGCAAAAACTCAGCCACTGAAAACACTATGAAGCATAGGTGTACTTTGAAACACATGGGGTCACCATGAGTTGAAGTCAACTTCATGGCAACTGTCTTTTTACTCCTTTAAGGGAAAGCGAAAATTCCAACTTACTGGTTGAAAACAAAAATTACACTTTTCTACACCCCAGTCATGAAACGAAGCAGCTAAGTGACCCATCAGCACTTTCTGCTTCCTGCCACTTCTTCCAGAGCAAGCAAGCAGGTGTGAGAGGGGGAGCTTGTGCAAATGGGTGGTCAGAGAAAGAGAGGGACAGAGAGAAAGAGAAGAGTAGAGCCAAGTTCATACGAGCCAAGGTCCATGGCATGTGTGGATGCAGGGCCAGTTACCCACTCCACGTGAGCTGGCTCTGCCTGGGGGCTGCAGGCCATCACCCATCACCAGATCAGCGACCACCCCCCTGCCCCCTACCCCAGCTTCCTGCCGCAAGAACACGGGACACAGATACCACGTGAGCGGTGCAGCGAGGGGGAGCCTGCTACCACTCCAGCCTGGAGTCCCCTGAACCAGGAGGCACCGAACCCCTGCCCATAGACCTCGTCTTCTCAGAGGCACTGTCGGCATGACAGTGACAAGAGAATAGCCCAGCTGTATGCACATCACAGACAGAACAAACACGTCTTTGCTGTGTGTACGGCAATTACGGCGTGGGCCTCCGGGGCGACCCTGAGGATGCATTCTATTGAAAACAGAGCCAGTTCCAGCACAAGGAACGACCGGAAACATGCACAGGTGACTCAGGAAGCAGAGCCGTGCCCGCATGTGTGGAGCAAGAGGACGCAGGCCCCAAGGGGGGCGATGGAGAGAGGCAAAAAGGTGGAGACGTGGGCACTGTGGATGGGAAGCAGCGGTGCTGCTCCTGTGGACCATGGGGAGGCTGGAGACATCCCTGGCTGAGCACATCTCAGAGCCTGCCTGTGCCACCAGCGACCCTGCAGGGCCCAGGCCTCACCTTTCCTCCTCTCGGCACTGATGTGCGTCAGGTTGAAGATAGTCAGGAACTTCTTCTTCTCTTCAAAGTTGGGGCTGCTGTTCATCTCATCAGGGCTATAGCGGGTGGACAGCGCCAGGCGTGGGGAGGGGGTCTGCCGCTTGCTCTGGACCATTGGGGGCGATGGGCTCCTCTCCCGCAGCATCCGCCGCCGCTTCCGCCGCTTCTGCGTCAGCAGCTCCTCCTTCTGCTGTTGGGTGGTCAAGCCAAAAAGTTGCAAAAACTCTAGCTTCTAGATTGGGAGAGAGCACAAGTCAGTGTGAAGGCAGGCGCCTGCCCCTGCCCCCGCCCCACCTGCGAGCGCCGTGGGGACGCGGACCTCGGAGGACGTGTCCAGCTTCAGCGGCGGCTGCTCAGCCACGCAGCGCAGGTGGGCCCTGACCTCCTCCTCGTCGCTCTCGTCGTATGAGTCGTCCAGGTCGTAGTAGTACCCTGAGAGCCGAAATGGGTTTGCTCAGGCTGGGAGCATCACTTCTCCAGTGCCCCTGCGTGGGGCCCCTGTGAGAAGTGGAAGCACCCCACCAGGTGGACATCTGCACTGGCACCAGTCCTAGGCTTCCCATGGGTGGCAGGCAGGGATGGAGACTGGTCATCGCCTGTGAATACTGCTTCCTGAGGGGCCATCGGGACACCACCCGGGGTGGGCTAGGCTCACAGAGGTCCCATCCTCTCAAAGGCATGAAGCAGGCCCACCCCCATGCAAAGGACACCAGTGGAGTCCCTGCACCACAGGCACTAGGTGCTCCTCTTTCTCTACAAGGCTCCCGACTCAGCCTAGACCCCACAACCTGGGGCTCAGCCTTTGCCCAGCTTCTGGGCTGCCTTAGGGCTAGACTCAACACTCATGGGGCCCGAGAGCCCTGACCTCAGACAGAGCAAAGGCCATTGGCCTGACCCTTCCCTCAGCCCCAGTCTCTGCTGGGGGTCTGCGTCCTCCTCTCTCCTGGCTGTCTAGGGTTACGGGGCAGGGGCCTCACCCAGGGAAACCCAAAGAGCTGTTGGCTGAGCCAGAAAGGAAAGAGTGCCTAGCCCCGTCCTGGGCAATGCCTGCTGCTGCCCCCCTCAGCCTACAGTTTATGTGGCAGCCCTGTCCTCAGAGCCCCTGCTGGCCTGGCTGCTCCACCCCCGTCATGTTATATGATTAATATTTAAAAAACCATCTTATTAGCCTGCACTCATCACTTATTAACTGGGCATGTCAGCAGGAGTGTCTTCACAGACAGCTATGATTTGGCTTTTTGCGTCAGTGTGCACTGCAGCAGGGGCCACCGTCGGTCTGCCCAATTCAGGTGTCGGGTAGTGAATTCACTACCTGGGTCTAGAAGCACAGAGTCCGGCACCCGCCCTGGCTCTGCCATGCTCACCTACCCTCCACCCCTCCATCCCCAAGGAAAGCACACGGGGCAGGCACGGACCTTTCTCCTGGGCCTCGCGCCGCCTACGCTCCTCCAGGTCCAGCTTGCTGACCAGCCTGCGGCGCTGCTGCAGGAACTCATCATAGATGTAGGCCGGGTCGGGGCCTCGCTGTGCTGGGGGCCGCCCGCCCAGCTCCCCAAAGGGGGCAGCTTGGCTGAAGGAGGCCCGCTGCTGGCCCAGGAGGGTCTGAGTAGACTTCTCGAGTTCAGTGAGGAAGGGCCCAGGCCCATGGGGGAAGGCTGGGTGTTCCAGGCTCCCCGCCTCCCGCGGCGGCAGCTGGAACTTGTCCAGGGAGGCAGCCTCACGCTTCCGGGGCCCCTCCTCAGCCTTTTCCGGGCAGTACACCCGCTCTACCTTCACCAGCGGTACAGCAGCCTGGCGGCTGGGCTCGAACGGGCCTGGGTGGCTGTGCAGAGAGTGGCTGTCAGGGGCCCGCCGGGGCTCCAGAGCGTTGTCCATCAGGGACACGGGGTTCCAGAGGGCCGTGGGCACTGTGTGGTGCTGAGGCTTAGGTGAGATGAGGGGTGGGGGCCCGCCAAAATGCTGCGGGGGGTCTCGGCTGCCTGGCTCATGACGGTTTGGCCCCGGCCTGGAAGTGAGCAGATGATGCCGTCAGATTTAACCAGGAGCCAGAACTGCAAGGGGATGGAGACCCCTCTCTAAGCCCCTTGATCGGAGGCTGGGGGACGATGGGGCGGCTGGGCTCCATCTGACACCAAGTTACACGCATCTCCACTTCCTCTTCAAACACCTGAGGCACGTGTCTGCAGACCCGCTTTTCAGAGAGATGTAGAGGCTAAGTGGAGGGTCATGGCCTGTCCCAGCCCAGGCGTCATCTCACCCAATCTCCGGTCCTATTTTTCAGCCATGGCCTTTCCACACTCACTCTACACTGCCTTCCAGACCTCTGGTACACCCATAATGACAGACCTGTACCTGTAGTGCACAGGGGAGAGTGTGGCTCATGTAGAGGACAGGGCCCACATGGCACCCACCTCTAGACGTGCCAAGTGATGGGCGGATAATGGGGGGTGGGCCAGCCTCCTTAAAGGAGCTACTACTCCCCACACCCATGCTCCTCTCAGGAGGGCAGCAAGAGAACAAGGCTTCCATTGTCTGCCTGGCCCACTCCCACTAGCTTCCAGAGGCCCTCCTGGGGTCAGGACAAATTTGTGCCGCTGCTGACCCCCAGTGGCCCTTGCCAGAACAACAGTGTCCCAAGGGCTCCTCGCTGTAGCCCAGCTTCCTATCCGCCAGGCAGCATGGAACAGCTGCGTCTATAAAGAAGACAGTCCAAGGAAAGCCTCCCGCACTAGGGACCGCCCCACTCTACAGCAAGTTCGCCCACATCGTACTAATGACTTGTTCCCTCAATGCACCTGAAATAAGCCCCAACTCACAAAAGTCTGTTTGGAGTGTTGTTTTCTCAAAGTTTATCTATTTTTAAAAAAGCACACTCATACACTTGGCCTGAGTAGTCTGGGGCAAGGCCTGAGGGACAGAGGGGCGGCCAGGCCCCCGAGATCTCTCCCCACCTGGCCGGGGAGCACATTTGACCACAGGCCACAAAGCTGAGAAACCCAATGCCATCGCACCTCAGGGTCAGCAAAGTACAAAAGGGAACCATATCAAGAAACTGTTTATTCTTAAGTAAACAGCAAAGGAATAAAACCCGTTAGCAGAATAAATATTTCATGCACCAGAACTGAGCATTCAGCGGTTTTCTAGCTCAGAGCACAAGGACCGCCTGTCATAACATGGAGTTCATGTTGCTGTGACAAGTACTGGAACTCCAGCAGGCACCCTGCCTCCCGCAGTACCCGGCCTACATGGGCTGAGGCTGTGCAGGCTAAAGGCAGAGGAGGGCACCTGCCACGGACTGATTTCTGCATCACTGGGTGAGGACTCTGAGGGGGAGGGGCAGCCTCACCCAGCAGACTGGACTAAGCCCAGAGAGAAGCTAAGCTCCACCCCTCGCCAACCCCAGCACTGACCCATGAGAACATTGGAGGAGAGAAGGGACCCACATACGAGGAGTTTGTGAACCAGAGTGTCCAGTGTTTGCCATCCTGGGCAGCACCACAGGGCGTCAAGTGGGAAAGCAGATTAGGAAGCTTTCCACTTGTCCCTGGTGTGTGCAGATGGGGAAACTGAGGCCCAGAGAGAAGGTGTGGTCCCTGATTAACCAGCCAGCCCCCTCACCTCGACTCCCATCCCCCTGCTATGGGTCTTAGTCCACCCCTTTACCTGGGGCCTGGAGGGCCGGGGGAGTGGGTGAGCCCCAGGCCAGAACTGCCCTGGCTGCTGCTCCTGGCCCAAAGCAGCCAGGGGCTTCAGAGACTGGCAAAAAGGCCTCCCAGAGAGTCTTTTATCACGGGGCTGGGAAACAGGTCTATTTTTATTATAAAAACAATAAATCTAATATCTAATCTTTTATTTCAAAAAGAATAAAAAGAAGCCCTACTGTCATTTAAAAAAAAAAAGTCCAGGCTCCAAAGTCTGGGAAGGACAGATACTGATCAAGAATAGAAAGGTCCTTCCTCATGTTCTTCGGGGATACCACCGGGGACTGGGCTTAGTTGCCTTGTTATTCAGGAATGGGGGCCTTGGGCAACTCATTTCCCTCTCAGAGTCTCAGCTTCCTCATGGGCAAAGCAGGATTATAACAGGAAGGTAAAACGAAATGACATGGGCCAAGAACATACAGCAGGACACTGGGCAAACAGCAGGTGCTCAATAGATGCTGCCAGCACTCAATGCCCTGCCCCCTATCCCTCGCCCACATCCAGGCTCACCTGGCACTCTCGGGCCGGTGCTCTACCTCCGCTGGCATCGGGGGGCGGCCCATGTCCAGGTGCTGCTCCAGCACCTGCTGCCGGAACTCGGACACCTGTGACTGCCGGTCCTCCTTCTCCTGCCGTAGCCGCCGCTGCCGCGCCAGCCACTTCTCCTCCTCGTTGGTGCGCTGGATGAGCAGTGCTGCAGCTGCACTGCTGCCAGGCAGCGCCTGGAAGACGCTGTGGCTGGAGATGAGGCTGGGTGCACTGGGGTGTGGAGCAGGCGCCGGGTGCAACGGGTGTGGCACAGGTTTGGGCGCCTGCAGTCCCGCCTCCTTGAGCTTCTCTGTGGGGAGAAACACCATCACGCAAGGCACGGGACTCTGTGCCCAGCCCTGTCAACCACCCAGAGCAGCAAGCGCCCTGCAGGAGGGCCTTTCCCCGGCCAGAACCAGACCCTTGCAAGGGGCCTACAGACATGCTCAGGAAGCACGTCCTGCCTAGCCAAGGGCCTTGAACCTGCCAGGGAGCCAGAGCCAGCTCACACTGCTTGTAAGAGCAGACTGAAACTCTCAGGAACTGCTTAAGCCAGCTGCTAAACACAACTGTTGCTGAAAGTTAGATTGTACAATGAAGTAAATTATGTCAAAAACAAAACTCAAAGCTCATCACTCCAATTTTTTACTACACAGCATTTTCTGCTCTTGAGGGGAGCTACTTTGTGCACCTGTGTGGTGTACACTACGGTGAGCCACGCTCATCTCGTCCCGACTCTGTTCAGTGATGCCGGCCCTGCCGGGAGTGTTTGTGCTGTGGGAATGGCAAACGCAGCAGATTGAGGCCTCCCTGGAAAGCTAGTCCCCAGACGCTGCCAACCCCACCGGCTGGCCACAGCCCTTGCCCATTAACTCCCCCAACAGACTGTGCCCCTGCCTAGTACCTGTGCGAGTCGGGGTCAGCTGCTCCGAGGGCTTGGCCCGCTCATCCGTAGCAAGTCCCCGCAGCACATGCAGCTCGGCTGCGGGCAGGAAGGTGGGCTCCAGTGCCTTGGCAGCCAGCAGTTCCTTCTCGCGGGCCCGCTGCTCCCGCTGGCGCTCTAGCTCCCGCTCCTTCTCGCGCTCCAGCTCCTTCTCGCGTTCTCGCTCCTTCTCACGCTCACGCTCCTTCTCCCGCTCCCGGTCAGCCTCCCGCTCTCGCTCTCGCTCTCGCTCCCGCCGCAGCTCCTCATCCATCTGCAGCCTGAGGAGGAGCAGAGAGTCAGTGAGGTGCATCATGGGTGGGCGGCAGGGCCGGGGTGCCCACGGAAGGGGAGACCCTCACCCTGGCCCAGTTCTCCATGCAAAAGCTCTCTACCCTGAACAGTGATGGAAGGTAAGCAGGACCCCTTTTTCTTTGTACCACAGCATGAAGAGATCAGCCCATGAGACCCAGTTACAGCATTTCCCGAGCACACTGCCATCCCCTTAGCCTGCCAGCTCCGTTTCAGAAAGGGACGAGCCTGACTACAACTCCGTGTTGAAACCTCAACTACCCTGCCTGCATTTTGTGGGTAAAGACACTGGGGACTGAGTGGGTAAGGAGCTGTCCGGCTGCACATGCAGCCGGCTGCTCTGCTGCCGAGGGGCAGCGTGGCCCACATGCAGAGGGCTCACCTCTCCGTGCTGAGGCTGGATAGCCGGTCGGAGTGCAGCGCAGCCAGGGATGAGTGGGCGAGCTCGGGCGGGTAGCGGACCCCAGACAAGTGCAGGTGCATCGCCGAGGGGTGCAGCGGAGGCAGGGAGCCAGGTGTGGGCAGGGGGTAGAAGGGGGACCTCAGAGCTGACAGGCAGTAGGAGTCGTCCATCCTGTGCAGGGACACAGCAGCTGTGAGCGTAGTACACTGAGTGCACCTCAGTTTAAAGACAAGAGAAACAGGCAGAAGCCGGCCCACGCCCTCAGCCCTTCCCCCAAGTGCATTTGCCAGGGTGTCCATCTCACAGCTCGCTTGATATGTGTGTGTGGGGGGTTGGGGGAGGGCGGAAGGCTGCAGGAAGGGACCTCCACCCATGAGTAGCCCAGGGTTTCCATTGACCAGGACCACCAAGCACTGCCTGGAGCTGTGCCAGGGTTCTGAGGCCCATCAGAGACCCGCCAGGCTGGCCTGCACACTAAGAAACCTGGCACGTGGGGCTCCCCTGGGTGGGCACTGCTTTGCCATGGAGCAGAGGACTGCCCCACACACATTCGAGCTCCATGTGCCGTCCACCAGCAGTGATCTGTGCTCAACAGGGCTGACGTGAGGGAGGAGAATGGGAGAGGATGGCTCAAACCACCGGGGGAGCGGGGGTTGGGGGGGTGGTCTCCCATCACAAGGGCCAAGGGGGTGCAGGCCAGACTCAGGCTGGGCACAGGTGGGGGCTGTTCATGTTGTCCTTTACAGATCAGGGGCCCGGACAGGCAGATGTGCAAAGGCAAGGCTGCAGCAACTCTGCCAGGCCCACAAGGTCCGCGGACAGAGTGAGGGGAAGGCAGGCCTGGGCCTGGGCTCACCTGAAGGCTGGGTGTGGGAAGGGGTGCGGGGCCAGGTAGCTGGGATGGTAGTAGGCCGCGGCAGTGGCAGGGTCCAGGCCGAGCGGAGGCAGGGAGGACATTCGGAGGTCCTCGGCAGTGTGGTAGGGCCGGAAACTCCTCAGGTAGTCCTCGGTCACCGTGCTGGGTGGCACCACATGGTGCACAGGCCTCTGCAGGCTGTGGGTGGGGCGGACGGAGACGGTGAACCCTGTGTCCCCCCGCTCCAGCAGAGGGATGCATCTCGAGGACAGGCCTGGCCTCCCGCTGCCGAGATGCTGGCCTGGTGGGGGGTCCAGGGAGGGCAGGGGGCAGCAGCTGCTCCAGGGTCACACAGCCTGGAGGGACCCCTCGGGTCTGAGAACCAAGGACAGAGGGTACAGACAGGGCTGGAGAGCAGTGATCAGCTGGGGCATAGAGTATGGGAGCAGGGGCAGGCAGGCCTGGCCCTGGGGATGGTGAGCAAGCCCTCAGCCTTGTTAAGCAGACCCCAGGCTCCTGGCCTGGTGCTGACCTGGAGCCCGTGTGCCCTCCCCAGCCCTGTCTCCCCCAGCGGCCAACTTACTTGAGTGGCGGAAAGCGGGAGTCCTGCACGACTGAGCTGGGGGAGATCCCAAAGGGGTAGGGGGTGCTAAGAAGGTGGGAGGGGATGGCCGGGCCGCCCGCCTTCTCCTGGGGCAGTGGGGGCTCCACAATGAGGCGCTCCCGGCTGCTGCTGCCGCCCCTCGAGCTGGCATCCTGCTGGGGACAGGGATAAGCAGGTGGGTTAGGGGTTCAGGGCCAGCACAGGTGGGCCCAGACTGTCTTCCTCTGGGCTAACAGAAGGCTCTTGATGCAGTGAGGGCTCTCTTTAGGGGCCTCCTCCGTGGGGCCAGGGCCGCCGAGTCTGCTCATCCCAGGACATGGTACATAGGAGGGGTGGGAGGACAGCCGCTCCTGCAGTTGTGCCAGGTCCCAAGCTGGACTCCAGGTGCCAGCTCTCTGTGCAGTGGGGAACACCCATCCACTGACTGCAAGCACACAGGCATCCCCCAGGGCCAAGCAGGCAACTACTGTGTCACCCAACGCCCCCACACACCTTGCACCCCTGCTGCCCCGTGGAGAGGCCACAGAAAGCTGGCACCGCCCAGGGCTGAACATGCTGGTCTGTTCCCAGCCACTGCCCAAGTGGCCTTGGCACCTTCACATACCCCACCTGCTCCGTCTCCTAGACAGAGAGCAGATGAGGCTTTGATGGGGGAAGGGGACCCCAGGAACACCAGAGAAGGGCTACTCCAAGCAAGAAAGGGATGAAGAAGAGGCCCCGAGGATCCCTAAGACCAGGGGTTGGGGTGCCACCCCGGCCCATGAAGAGGACAATGCAAGCCGTGTGTGGGAGCAACCATAGGTCAGAGGCCACCTGTGTGGACACCCCAGAGAAGGGAAGCATACTGTGGAAAAAGAGCCGCGTAGGAAGGTCCAGAGAGCAAGCGTTAGTCCCAGACGTCACCTGGGCGCAGGCCCTAGGCCTCCCCTCAAAGTGAGGACAAGGAAGACCCAGGCTTCCTAAGCTGTCGGTGAATCATACACCTGTGGCCACCTGCTCTGGGGCCCAGCTGAGCTTTCCAGGAAGCAGAATGGGGGACCTCTGTACGCTGAGCCCCCTGATGCCCCTAAGGCAGGTTTGGTTACCGCAGTCAGCAGAGGAGCAAACCGGGACTCAGAAAAGGGAGGGACAGTCTGTCCTCCCCAAGTCCCTGGTGTGTTCACTGTACCAGGGCACCGAAGCCCAATAACAAGGGGGCCCTAGCTCTGCCCTCCTCCTTGCCAACCTCAGTGGGCCTCAGAGGGCTCCCGGGAAGGTTTGTGGAAACACGGAGACTTCCTGCCTTCCTTGTGCCTCCTTTCTCCCCGGCTCTGCTATGTCTTGTCTGTCAGACTTGCGGACAAAGGGCAGCAGGGGCCCCATGCCCCGAGTTGATCTACGTCCCTGAGTGGGTGCGTGGGAAGGACTGCCGTGGCCACCTTCTTCCAGAGACCCATCCGTCTTGGAATCGACAGACTTGACACCCCAGAACACGCCCCATAAGATCAAAATTGCACAGGTTAGCTAGCGGAGTGGGTGGAGCCAGCGGGAGGGACTTGTTAGTCAAGCACATTCACTCAGCCGGCCCGCTGACAGCTGGTCAGAGGACGCGCCAGTGATGACTGAGAGCTAGGCCCAATGGTCAGAATTCTAAGCAGCAGCAGCATCTGCCCCTCTTCCTCGTGCTCGGCTCGGGCCCCCTCTGCTCATGGTCAGTCCTGTGGGCTCGCAACCTCTGACCTGCCTCCGGAGGAACTCAAGGCTGGGACATGCACACTAATGCCCTGGTCAGAGCCAGATGGCAGCCTGCACCTCCTGCCTCCCAGTCTTCCGGAGCAGTCTACTGCCAGGGCCTGGTGCCCAGGCCCCAGGTCTCCATGCAGCCTGTATGGGCAGGAGATCCCAGACAAATCCCACACGGGCCCTGTGCCTCAGTTTCCTCATTTATCAAACCTAACAACCACAGCACCCCTCACAGCACAGTGGAGTGGCCTCACAGATGCAGATAGGATGCGGGGTGCAGCATCAGCACGGGGGGCTCACACACAGGTACGCCCCCAGCCTGCACCATCACCCTCACCCTCCTGCATGCCCCAGTGACATGCAGAGCCACCTCCTCACACTCCCACCTGCCACGCCAACATCTAGCCAGGCTGGTCAGTGCCCAGTGTCAGCGCAGGGGAAAGGTGTGGGGGTGCCTACACTGTTCATGCACTGACTGGCTCTGACCAAGGGTGAGGAAGGCGCTGCTGCTGTGCTGTGGTCTGGGATGGGTGAGGGGGCAGCACTGTCCTGGACACTCCGGGGAAGAGAAGGGGGTGGTCCTTGGGCCCAAGGCCTCCAGGTGCCAGGGTAGTGCCCCTGATGGACGCCAGGCCCAAAGCAGACTGGACTCCACCCTGGGTGCGCAGGGCCACCCCACGAAGGGCTGCCCACACCTGCCCAAGCACCTCCTGGGCTCGGCCAGCACCCAGCCCTGTGGCCAGAGGTGGTGAGCGCCTGCAAGAGGGCCTCGCTCGGGGAGAAGCTCCCAGCAAACCAGCCCTACCACGACTAAGCGAGGAGGGTCCAGGAGGGGCCTTGCTCAGCTCAGAGCACAGTCCCTTCTCCCCCCTGGCCAAGGACAAAGCCCATGTGAAGGCGGCTAGGCCACAGAGGCCGGGGAGGGGCCAGTGGGCAGGGCAAGGGGTGGGAGAGCCAGACTTCACCTCTGTGCCTTAGGTCTGGCTGGGCTAGCCTGGCCTCTGGGAACTAGGGCAGCTGGCCAGGAGCCCGAGGAGGGCCACACAAGGCAAGGAGGGGCAGGAAGAGCCCTTAACCCAGGCCTGGCCAGCTACCTCAAGTCCCCACAGCTGCAGTGGCCAGGGTCCCCTGCTACCCCCAGCAGGCCGCCAAACATTGGGGTGCATCTGCAGCAGCTCTTTATTATTTCTGAGCAGCCACGGCTGCTAGCGCAGCTGTAGCCGTGGATAAAAGGGGAAAGGAGGGCGGAGGGAGGGACCGCCGTCCTCTGGTGATTAGAGGCAGCTCTACCACCCAGACGGCGGACATGCCCCGTTAGCTCTGCAATCGACGACTCCCTTTAATCCACCTTTCCCAGTCCAGCTCCCCGGAACAGCAGTGACCCCCACGAGGGAGCCCCGGAGCCCAAGAGCCCCCTCCTCCACCCCCAACTTCATGAGGTTCTTCCCTCTCCTTCCCCCATACCCCCCGAGAAGTACGAAATCCTGGTGGAACCTTTGTGCAGGTGATGAGCCATCCATCACCTGCAATCCAGCCCCTCCCCGCTCCCTGCTGGTGCTCTGCATCATTAGCTGCCCTGGCCTCTTTTCAGGGCCCACCGAGGAGAACGCTAGCGCTCAGAGCGGAGCCACGTGGTGAAGGTACTCGTGATTCTTTACGCCTCCCAGAGGGGAAGATTCATGAGACACCCGGTGGGGGAGACACACAACACATGAGCAGGCAGCTGGGCGTGGGGCTCTGGCCTCAGAGCAGCTCACTCCCAGAGGGTGGGAGGGCAGGGCCTGCTGAAGAGCCTTGCCTGGGGGAGGGACGGGACAATGGGAGCTGTGGGCAGCTGTCACCGGGAGGCCAGGCTTGAGCTGGGCCCTGGTAGGACCAGATGCCACTGGGCTGTGACAGGGGAAGAGGGCAGGAGCTGCCACTGCATAAGCCAGAGGACATGGGTTCCCTGAGACTGACTGGCCCTTGGAGGTGGCTGGCAGCAGAGGGCAGGGAGTCAGAGGACCGAGGAGGTCTCACAGGAGCCAAGTGCCTCGGGCTCCAAACCCCTCTGGAGGCCAAGACCTGCGAGTGAGCACACGGCCAGGCCCTGCCTGCTCCTTCTCCAGGACAGTGGGAGACCCCCAGATAGCACATGTGTGAGCAACACCAGCGGGACGCGAGGTGGAGAGGGGCTGCAGCCAGCGACTGGCTGGAGATAAAGCCGGAAGGCGGGCCTGCCACTCAGGCCAGAGATGATGACAAGTCAGGCCACCCTTGGGTCCTGGCCCAAAGCCACCTCCAGGGTCCAGGAGTATCCACTGGGTCTCCAAAATGAGAACCCCCTCCTCATACCTCTCCTCCTGGTGGGTCGGTGGGCCATGCCGTTTTCCTGTCTCAGCTCCCTGCATATTTGGGCACTAGGTCATTGTAACAGCAACTGTCCCTTGACCATGCAGAGTACAGCTGCCACCTTAAGCGCCGTGACACGGCCTCGCACTCTGCATCACAACCCTCCCTGGGCGGGCAGCGCTGCCCCAACTTTGCAGAAGAAACAGACCCACAGGGCGCAGGAGACTCAGCCGCGATGGCGCCAGCCATTGACAGATACTGGCACCCGATGCTCCCCCCGTGGAGGTGCCTTCTCCATCCCAGGCCCCCCCGGCCCCAGCCATGTGCCTCGCGGTCCTCACCTGCCGGCTCTCGCTTCTCCAGACGCCATTGACAGTCTTGGTGGGGGCAATGGTCACCACGGGGGGCGTGCTGGGGACGCTATGGCCCCCTGGTGGGACAATGATGGGGCCCATGGGCACGCGCTTGGGCGTGCTCGCAGGGGAGCTGTGGTTGGTGGCAGGAGAGGACACTGGGGATGACTCACTGCTCAGTGAGGACCCTGTAGAAAAAGAAAATGCTGCGTGAGTGCCCACAGGTCTGTCCGCACCCCCCAGCTCCAGGTATATGTGTGCCAGGCCAGGTGCACCAGCCATGCTCCTGGGAGCTGCCCAGCGACTCCGCCTAGCTGACTGACCAGGGGCCAGGCCTCTCTCCAACCTCCTCTGCCCTCCCCACGGGTCCTGGCCCAGTGTGAGGCACCAGATGTGGACACCCAGTGCCAGCTTCACCCTACGTGAAGGGGAGCCCCCCTCACCTCAGATGGGCTGAGGGCAGGAGAGGCAGGCACCACCCCTACCAAGGCACCACTTTCCAGAACAGCCACAGAGCCCGGAGACCACACCGGATTCTGGGAGGGACCCGCGCACAGCCAGGGTCTCAGTACTGACACCCCAGGGCACACAGGTGGGCATGGTGTTGTGCAGGGATACCCCCTCCTCCACCCAGGGTGAGTGGGGCGCCAGTCAGTGCCTCACCAAGGCTACCAGCCCAGGCGATGCTTGCCCCGAGTGGGGAGAGGCCAGGGCTTCTCGAGGAGCGTGAGCAGGGGGTTGGAACGAGACTAGCGGGGATCCTCCAAATGGCCTGAGATTTCCTGACTGCCTCTAAGCTTGTGGTGGGGGTGGGTCACAGGAAAGAAAAAGAGGCAGCGACCAGCTGGACAGTGGCGCAGGAGTGACCACAGAGGCACAGTGTGGGGGCTGCTGCTGCTGGACCCCAGGGAGGGGGCTTATTTAAGGGAATGCCATTTATTTTTCTATTTTCTTATGACCTAAAATTCATCATTTTATGCGTACAAGTCAGTGGTTTCTAGTACCTCCACAAAGCTGTGTAGCCATCCCTACTATCTAATTCCAGAACATTCCAACCACCTCAAGAGAAACCCTGTACCCCTTAGCTGTCACCCCCATTTCTCCAGCCTACAAGGGAGGTGGCGTGGGGGTGAGACTACAGCTTCGTCCATGCAGGCGCTCTAGGGGTTGTGGGGCTTGCAGGACCCTCCCCAGGCCACGTTCCTGCCACCTGCCCCCAAAACGCAACCAAACACTTAACAATGGAATCAGGAATGCGGCTCCATAGATTTGTGCACAGCTCACACAACTGGGCAGGGTGGCCCTAGAGGAGATACCCAGGCCAGCCAGATCTGCCCCTACTAATCCTGCAGGCCATGCCCCAGAGCCACCTTGCTGCCCCTAAGGTATGACCCTGACTCCCCAGATGGACCAGTCAGCTACTGCCCCCAGAGCCACCTCTCTCTGTGGCCCAAAGCCAGCCACTGCCCACACCCCGACACTAGGTCAGACAGGTTTAGATCCCAGCTCAGCCTCTACAAGCTTGGACACGCTCCGGGCCACCCTGTGAGTAGAAAGAAGCTGTGCAATCACTGGCAGGTGAAAGCAGATAGGACAGCACTAAGTACTGCCTCTCTAGGCAAAGAGAATGAACCTCTGGGGTCGTGAGAGACCCTGGGTTTGGGTGAGTCAGAAGAATCCACTATGACAAGTCAGTTTCAGGATAGCGTGGGAGGCGGGCTGCAGGGCCAAGCCAGGAGATGGGCGCAGAAACAGCCGGCTGGGACTGACCCCTCAGTTCTGGCAAAGCCCTGGGAGCTGGCGTGCCACCATCCACTGTAACAAATGCGATGAAGGAAAGTCCTGGTTGTTTTAAGTCAGGGCGGGCGCAGCCTCCTGAACCCTCACCCACCGCCAAGGGAGTGTTGTGTGCAGCCCCTCAGAAAAGCAGCCATATCTCGCAGAACTAGCCACTCACTCACACTGGCCCGGCAGCCTCCCTCGCCTCTGCCAGAACACGGGGCTGTGTCCACCAGACACCAGAGGCTCTCAGTGCCCTCAACACCATCAGCAGGAGGAGGACACAGTCTGGGGCGTTTTCAGGATGGAGACCCCATGCAGGGTCTGAACCAAGCACAGGGGTGGATCCCAGAAACCCCACGGAGTAGGAAGCCAGACACCCACGGGCATGCCCACAGCATTTCTGTCCACCTAATACAAAAGACGCAAAGCTGACTGATGGGATTAGTCTGGAAAACTCTACGCCGCCTGGGGGCACAGAGTGGTGGGAGGGGCAGCAATAGGTGGGCGCCATGGTCTCCTGATTGGGGGAGGGCTCTATGAGGCTCCACTATGTAAACTCACCCACTGCACACATATGCTTCTGTGCTTTTCCATGTGTTTCAAGATTTCAATAAACAATCTACTTAAAATTTTTGGGAAATATTAGGGATGGCACCTTTCCCTTTAAAAAAGGCATTTCCATGAGATCTCCACTACTGTTTTTTTTTAGTAACAGCTTTACTGATATAATTCCCATACTATATAATTCACTCAAAGTGAACAACTGAATGGCTTTTATACATACAGCGTTGTATAACTATCACCACTACTTAATTGCAGACCGTATCACCCCAAAAAGAAACCCCAGACCCATTAGCTGTCACTCCCCAATTCCCCAGCAGCCATGAACCGACTTTTTGTCTCTATGGGTTTGCCTACTCTGGATATTTCATACAGATGAGATCCTCTAGTATATGGCTTTGCGTTGAGCTTCTTTCTCTCAGCATGATGTTCCCGAGGTCCACCCTTGTGCAAGCGTGTATCAGAACTCCATACCTTTTCATGGCTGTATAATATTCCATCGTGTGGATGGACATGTGTGCACCCGTTCACCTGTGGAGGGACATGTGGGCCGTTTCTGCCGTTTGTCGATGAGGACAGTGCTACTGTGTGTATTGCTATTGAGGCTCACTCACCCACAGCCTTGGGCACACAGCTGCTGAGGGCACCACTGCATCTGGCTAAGCCCTGGCGCTGGGCAGGGGAGGGAGGGCGGAGCCCAATGAAACAAATACATCGAGTGCCACCATCCCACTGAGGCAGACACTGCCAGGAGCCAACATCACGTGTCTCCTGCTGCCGGAGGAGAAGTGGGGTCAAAGGTCCAAGGGGCTCCAGGACCCCCTAGGGGGCCAGGACAGAGAGGCAAGGGGGGTGGGAGTAGCTGTGTTAGACCTGCTGTATGCCAGGCCCCTGGTGGCCCATCCTTACCCCACTTCACAGAGTGGCCAGGCCCAGGGGCCCTCTCCCCACAACCCCCATGCCTCTTGACCTCATCCCCCAGTCACTAGCTCCTATATTTTAAGACATACCCCCACTGTCTCGGAATGGGCTTCCTTTCTAGGTCCTGGTGGGTGAGGGGGAAAGCAACGGGCAGTGGGCGGCCGGCTGACCCTCGCTGAGTGCATTGTGTCATGGGAGGCTGTTGGCAATTAGCGGCCTAATCCCCTCGGAGGCGGGAGGCCATTACTCACCCGCAAGAGCAGTAGCAATCAATACCTTGACAACAAACCCTCCAATTAGTGGGGCACGCGCTTGGCCCCCGAGCCTCCCTTCTCATTGGGGGGCACGCAGGAAGGCCTGTGATCACTGTAATTAACTGGCGTATTCAGCAAAGAGTTAGTCAATGAAACTAATCGGGATTGGAGATGACAGGAACAGAACGCAGCCGTGTCACCCTGTGTCCCACCTCACAGATGAGTGCCAGAGGCTGGCAGGTACGTAATTAACAGCTGAGACCCCAAAGTCACAGGAGGGAAGTGAGGGTCAGGCACAAAACGAAACCTCAAGAGCAAGGGGGGCCCAGCTTGGTGGGGGCTCCGGACAACTGGGCCCCAGGAGCCTTCCCTGCCCAACGAGGACTGAACCAGCCAAGTACACAGTTATTAAGCACCAACTACATGCCCTTAGATGAGACAGTGGTGGTTGGGTGGTAGAATTGTCACCTCTTACCCAGGAGACCCAGGTTTGATTCCCGCACAATGCATCTCATGGAGAGCTACCACCTGTCCATCAGTGGAGGCTTATGTGTTGCTGTGATGCTGAACAAGCTTCAGTGGAGCTTCCGGACTAAGGCTGACTTATGAAGAAAGACCTGGAAATCTACCTCCGAAAACCAGACAGTGAAAACCCTGTGGATCCCAGCGGTCCAATCCACTACCCATCATGGGGATGGCGCAGGACCAGGAAGCGTTTAGTTCTATGGTGCATGGGGCTGCCATGAATTGGGGCTGACTCGATGGCTGCTAACAATACCAACAATAACAGGTGCAACAGGTGTGGGTGAATAAGGAAGTGCCAAGTCCATCTGATGGGGAAAGAAGAGTCTCTTCAACAAATGGTGCTGGGAAAATTGAATTTCCATAGGCAGAAAAATGAAACAGGATCCGTGCCTCACACCACACATGAAAACAAATTAAAAATGGATTAAGGACTTAAATGTGCAAACTAAAACCATAAAATTCTCAGAAGAAAAAACAGGCGATGCTGTCAGGCCTAGCTTTTAACAACGGATTATCAAATATCGTAACAAAAACATAAACAGCAAAAGACTAAAATAAATGAAACCTCATTAAAATTAAAAACTTCTGTTCATCAAGACTTTTCCAAAAAAGTGAAAAAACAAGCTACTGACTAGGAGAATATCTTTGGAAACCAGATATCCGACAAGAACCTAATAACCAAAATATACGTAAAACCTCGACAACTTAACAACAAAAAGAAAAAAGACAAATAACCCAAACGTAAAATGTGTAAAGGACTTGAATAGACATTTCACCAAAGAGGACATTCACATGGCCACCAAACACATGAAAAGATGCTCAGAGTCATGAGCCATCAGAGTGATGCTAATCAAAACCAAAATGAGATAACATTTCACTCCCAGTAGAATGGCTAAAAAAAAAAAAAACAGAAAACAACAAAGGTTGGCGAGGATGTGGGGAAACTGAAACACTTACCCATTACTGGTGGGAATACAAAATGGTACAACCATTGTGGAAAACAGTATGGCAAAAATAGAACTATCATACGACCCGGCAATTGTACTCCTAGGTACATATACCCAACAGACTTGAAAGCAGAGAATCAAAAAGAGACTTGTTCACCAATGTTTACTGCAGCACTATTCACAATAACCAAAGGGTGG